TACTTTCTAAATGCCAGATATGTTCCTAATCTTAAGCACAATACTATCGTAATAACTACAGGCGATACTGCAGCCCTGGCTGTTGGCAAGAATCATGAAGATGCTAATAGAAAATTGCAAAAATCTAAAGGACTAGATTAACACCTGAAAGAAAAGATTGTGAATTAAATACCAATAATATTTTACCTTCTCATCAGTCTGGATTTAGAGCTGGTTATAGTTGTGCAACAAGACTTGGCTACTGTTACTGATGATACAATTTCGCCACTCGATAAAAATGAGCTGATTATCCTAATTTTAATTGACTATTCTAAAGCCTTTGATACTATAGATCACCGGATTCTATTGGCAATTTTACATTTTGTAGGGTTAAGTGCTTCTGCAATAAAATTTTTATCGCCTTATCTTATTGACCGAACTCAACAAGTTAAACTTGTTCAAAAATTATCTAGTAGGACCGCTTTTATATTTCATTTAATCTTCGAATTTATATACTTGTTTAAATTAAATTCATTATTTTGAATACACCTTCACACGCTAAAACAAAAAGATGGGGATTCTGGTATTTTAAAAATTTTAAACTGTTTGTAATCGTCCCCATGTGTTTCTTAATGGTTTTAAATTTTGACTGCACTCGAAGATGGAAATGAAGTTGTCCGAAACATATTTAGTACTAATATTAATGACCGAAAACACCAAAGAAATTTTTATTTATATAAAATTCTGCTACGGTCAGGAAATTATCCTTATTCAAATATTTATTTTGTGTTTAATTTTTTTCATTAAATTTTTTCCCAGCTAGCAAAAACCTAAATTTTAAAAATTCCGCCAAATGTGGCCATATTGAAATTTAGTACCACTCCAATTTGATAGATGGCACCACATCGCCTCAGATTTTACCATTGAGTTTCCCATTTATTCACACTTCCGAAATCTATGGCTACAGTCACGTAAAACAGTAACACATTCTTTAATAGATGGCTATAGTCAGGTAGAACAGTAACCCACAATTCATTAACTATTTATTATTTTAAAATTTAATAGACGTAGCAATAGTTTTATCACATTATCAAACAAATAACACCACAGAAAACAAAAAAAAATACCAAATTCTTTAATAATTTAACAAATTTAATATCTTTTCTTTCAAAGATAGCTATAGTCGCGTAGAACAGTAACCCACATATCAATAATTATTGTTTTAAAATCACATTATTCTTTTTAATCAATTAAATATTTGTTTTCTTACGATTCAAATTAATATTTATTTGATACATTTTAAGGATTTATGTGTTTGTCTCCTCAATTAATTAGAGATAAATAAATAAGTATCTTATATTTACTTTAAAGGATTTTATAAATAAATATTTATTTCATTAATAAAAACTTCCTAATAAAAAAATAAATATTTACCTTCTTACATATATGACATTTAAAAATCATCCTGTACATTCACTGCTCTACTTTTTTTTAATTAAATTAAATTAGTATAAACAAAAACGAAATAATTTATAGACAAGGCCAGTCGTTATGAAAATCAAATAAAATTTTAACAAATACCCACCTACCCATCAAAAACTTTTAGAAACCACAGTTTGCAACATTTTAAGTATTAATTAAGCAGCTTAATTGTTTTACCAAAAATTGGAAGAATTTTTGTCTTCTTTCTTGTACGTAATAACACAATGGAGATTAACAATTTCTTGTCGAAATATTTCGCATTAATTAGTCAAAAGTATTATGTTTCGTAGTGTTACATAATTAAAAATTAACAAATATTTTAATTATCTACAAAATTAATTTAAAGTTAAGTATGTTACGGCAAGTTGGATGAAAATTCTTTATATATGTTTTATAAATAAAAAAAGCAGCTGCTATTCTGTTACCAAATTTCTGCGAAGCTAATTTTAGTTTCATGTTTTCTTTCACCCACTACAAATGCCCTTTTGTTTTTAAACCTTCTGCATTCTGTATTTCTACAATGTTTTACTACCCTCGATAAGACAGATATATACCTATAAATACTTGTATAATATATATGCTGTTTACTTTGAATTTTGTTTACCCTGTTTTTTATTACCGTGTGACTGACATTTTTATTAATTATTATCACACGCCACATCTTAAAAATGTTGAAGGAAACAATTGTTTCCCGATTTCTGAATCAATAAGCGGCAATAAGAGAAAACGGTTCAATCTTACGGAAAAAACTTTTATTTCCTTGAGTTTTTCATTCTAATTAGTATCAGCTGACGTACTTCCAAGGTTCAAATTATTTTTCTAATTTCTTAATAACTCAGTCACGCGTTTTGTGCGGAAATAGCTATTTTTTTCTGTTTGTCGTGGTAATTTATATTCATGTAGATTCACTAAATGTGTGCACTTTATAAATTATTTTTAACCGATTTCAAAAAAGGAGATTCTCAATTCGTCGGAATAATTTTTTTATGTAAGTTCAGCGATAATTCCTTACTACGTTGTCCGATTACTATGATTGTTTTTTTTAGAAAGAGGGTAAATCCCATAGACAATTGGTCACGATCTGATGATCTATTAGAAAATTAAAATCTTAACTTTTAAGGGCAATTTTGAAGTCGGTTTTTAAAAATTACTTTTACACCTTGTCAATATAAAAGCTCCAATAGATAGAAAATTATTTTTTTCTTCAAGTGCATCAAAATATTCAAACAATGTAAAACAATTTTATAAGTTTATAGTACAAACAATAAATATTTAATATTTTTATACAAGTAAAATATCTAATAAAGTTTATATCACAAGATGGTAAAAAAATTAATTGTTTTAAAGTGAGATTTTTTTCTTATTATTAGAGTTAATTCTTTTAATTGATTTAAATACATTTAAATTGAAATCAAATATTTTTTAATAATTTATGTCAATAGAAATAAAACCTATTAATACTTATTTTTTAGTTAAAGATTAATTACAAACAAATTTTTATTTGCATTTAATATTTTTGTCAGTTACATTTAATATTTATGTAAGAAACTAAGTTTTTTCATTAAAAAGTTAGTACCTAATAAAGTAATTATATTTAATGTGCTAAAAAACTCTGCAGATCTTGATTATTAAAGTGCTAATTAATAACTTTTGTAATAAAATTTAATTACGGAAACTGCTATCTGTACCGTATTATTATTTTTCGATCAAGCCAATCATAAAATCTCTAGGAAGCAATTTAATTTACCTACCAGATATATTTATTAATATTATATTAAACTTAAACAAAGAATTTGAATGCAGTTCAAGGTACAATGGCTAATTAACCCCATAGAGATCACGCAACCATAAAAAATATTTAGGTCAAATTGAGTTCTTGTAAAATAGGTACGTACCATTTCCGTGAGTAACCTTAGAAGTATGTGAGTGCAGAGTCGGATTTGAGACGATGTTGGAACAAAAAAAGCAGGCCAGCAGAAATATCTACTACTGTTTAACTTAACATATTTGCTGCGATAAATATGATTCTAGTAGTTGGACATATTGCATCTGGGAGTTTTTTTATTTTAAATAGTAGAACGTAGAACAGTAACCCACATATCATTAAATATTTATTAATTTAAAATTTAATAGTCGCATTAATAGTTTTATCACATTACCAAACAAATAAAACCATAAAAAACAAAATAAAATACCAAAATTCTTGAATAATTTAACAAATGTAATACATATTTTTTCAGAGATAGCTATAGTCGCGTAGAACAGTAACCTACACTTCAATGATTTATTGTTTTAAAATCACATTCAATTCTTTTGACTCAAATAAATATTTGTTTTCCTACCATTCAAATTAATATTTATTTGATACATTTTAGGAATTTGTTTGTTATATATCTACTCAATTAATTTGAGATAAATAAATATGTAGGGAATTTTCAGTTGAAACCTAAAACAAATTTTTAGACTATTTTAAGATTATTTTTGTACCCTATTCAAACGTTTTATGCTCCCTCCTTGCTTTTTACAAGTTGAAAGTGTTATATTTAGAGGGCCTAAAAATAGCCTAATATTGTGATGTTTTTATCAAACCTTTAAAAACCGAGGTGCTCTGCTTCCTTTATTTGAAGCAGAAGCAAGTCTTTTTTAAAAAATTTTATAATAATTTGAGTGCTTAAAAATTGTCTTAAAATGTGGAGTAGTTGTATGTGAAAAAAAAAACTAATATAAATCTTTCGAAGCTAGCAGAGAGTTTGATTTTTGTAAAGAAGAGAAATATAAAATTTTTGAATAGCTTAAGAAACGGCAAAGTTTCAACTCAAAATTCCCTAAGTAATCTACTGACTTAATTGGCATAAATACCTTTAATTCTTTATTCTTTTTCGAAATTATGATTAATTGTCTTATTATTAGGGGTGAGGGTAGCCATATGTGAGTAAAGAAAAAGGTCCTTTATTACTCACAAAGTCAATTTTTTATTGTTTTAAAGTCAATTAATGTTATTTTTGAAATTCACTATATCACCCAAAAGAATAGAAAAAATATATTTATTTTTAATTTTTCTAACGAAGTTGGTAACGAATTAGTATATTAACCTACCAGAAAAAATACTCCATTGATTAATAACAATAATTCACAAGGACCCTAGAAATCAGCCAGGACCTATATTTGGCAATAATTAATACCGCAAACGAAAAATTTTCCATTCGACATCAATAAAACAAACGTTAACAATCCGAGACGAAGAAAATTAATACCTGCAAATGTTGTATAAAATAATTCGAACATAAGAGGTTCCATCCCAGTGCACATTCGGTACCAAAAAAGCCGGTAGGCGGGCACCTAGTCACCGCAAAAAATGCACTTTGCTGCAGTTCAACCTTGCCAAGGTATTGTCGCAATATATAAACTTTCGACTATGCTTTGTATACAGTTCTAGTGCTATTTTTTTTAACATTACGGCTGTGGTGAACGTGCACTTGGTAAGGGATATATAGTATATAAAGTTGGAGATTTGGATCCCTGGTTAGTATTGTAAAGTACTCACAGTATCATTGTATACCCAGAGTGTTAAAAATAAACAAAAATGTTCGCCAAGGTGTGTAATAGTGTTTATTTTAAGGGTTAAATCCCGAGTTTTAGTGATAAGTGAAAAATTATTTTTTCTATTTTTTTTCCTTTGTTAATAAACATTCAAAAGCTTTTATAACAAGCGCACATAATTTTTAAGGGTTGATATTTAATTTCTTTTTTAGAAATTTATTTACAATTAAAAATTAAACATTAATAGTAGGAAGGGTTGATAGTGAATTTTCTTTTTTATAAATCTTATTACAGTTAAAAACAAAACAATAGTAGTAGGGGTTTTTTAATTAGAAAATATTTAATTTTAGCAAAATTATTCAAAAATTCATTACTCTAAGTACATATGGATAATTTTTTAATATGTTTAAATGTATTTGTTATATTTTACATATTATTAAAACATTAATCGGCTAGTTTTTTTTTATAAATTAATATTTAATTAATAATGAGGTTGGAATTTTTATTTACATTTTTTGATGTATTAAACTCTTACTTATATTCCACATTATTTTTTGTGAACTAATTCTGCAGGAAAAAAATTGCTGAATTAACTATTTTTGATCTTTCTTTGTTCCTTATATTCTCAAATTTTACAAAAATATTCCTTTAATGATTAAAAAATATACCTATTTTTATATTCATTTTTTGTTGTATTTATCTACCATATTAGTGTATCTTCTTCTTTGTCCATCTCAATTGTCATCTTCTTTATTTAATGGATAATATGGTATTCCTTTTTATATCATCATTCTACTATGTTTATGGAATTTAATTTGTATTTTCCCTTACTTCTTATATTCTTCTTCAGCTTCTTTTTTCATTCTTTATTTTTATTTCTCTATTTTAATATTCAGCAAATTATTTTTAAATTTTATTAGATTTATTATTAATTTTTGTATATATTAAAGTTTAATATTAACGGATGTTTGTTTCAGATTGTAGCCTTCGCCACCCTTGTAGCTTGCGCAAGCGCTGGATTGCTCGGTGGGCATGGTCTAGGGGCTATATCAGTAGCCCATGCAGCGCCTATTGCCATCGCCGCGCATGCACCTGCGCATCATGAAACTGTCGATTACTTTGTAAGTATACCAGAAGAGAAATTTCGTGAAAATCAGTTAAATTTAAGAAGGCCCAAAGAGAATTCTTCAAGATGCAACTCAGCTTTGCTAAGATGATGTTCTATTCCTTCTCCCATTATTCCACTGGCTTGTATCTATGGTTTAAATTTTGGAAATTAACAAATATTGATTATTGGAAACTATTTTTGGACCTTCAAACTGAAAACAAATCTATTGAAAACTTATTTCCCGGGAAGAAATCGAACCATCTAAATTCGTTCAAGATATTATGTCTGAAGTCAGAATTGCAAATTTGAATACTAGAGTCAAATCTAACTATATTCTGTCACTGAGTTATTCTTTTTCTTCTTCTTTGATATTTTTGTGTTGTCCAAATTTGGACATAAGTATTTGTCGTTATCTTATAATTCCATGTTATATTTACCTCAAGAGACATCCGCAAAGGTATCCTTTCAAATATCCATTAAATTATTTAAGGCATTTTCGAGCTTTGCTAGAATATGCAGGTGTAGTTTGGTGTCTGCGTCTTGTACGAAATCAGAATCTCTTATATATAATCAGACCAAGACTGCAATTTGCAAATTTTCAACATTTACGAATGTCGATTATGAGGGGACCTGATTCTGACTTTTAGAATACTGATATTCAACTAAAAAAAAATGTTAGTGATAGGTTTCTTTTAAATACTGACTATCGTCTGCGTGGTCCTGAACCAAAATTAAAAAAGGTGCCACAAAGTCTTTAAAAATAAGTTAGACTAGTGTTTAACATTTTAGTGTTCTTTGATTTTTGTCCTACTGTGTTCTAACTTTCTATTTGGTTTTTAGTTTATCGTAGAATTTATGTCCTTACATTTTAATAATATAATAACAATAATAGTAATCTTCTTAAGAGACTGATTTCATCTGGTCTGAGATCGTTTCCTACTTCTTTTGCCTAGCTGTGACCATCTATGTTGTATTTTGCACTTTAGAGTATCTTCTGCTTTATTTTTCAACTAACTTGTTTAAATTTTATAGGGCAATATTTTTGAATTAACTTCCGTAATTTTTGTTCTAATATCTTTTTTTCTTTGTTCATTAGGGTTTTTCTTTGAGAGAGTATGCAGAATAATTACTCTACTCATTAAACGTTTCAATCATTTTAATCCAAGAAGAAAGAACAGCAGTAAAATTTCATATTTTAAATCAATTTAAGTCAATTCATCAAAAATGAATGGTTCAACATCTAAGGTCATTAGCCTAGTGTTCTATATAGGTTATGGATTGTACTAGTAGTCTAATACTCCATAGTGCAGGAGTATTAGTACTCTAATACTCCTACACCCCTACAGACAGGCCTTGTTACTGTGTCCTTGCGCCACTTTAGGAACAGCACTGTTAGTTAGAACCCAACAGTGAATGGTCGAATGGGGAATCCTACCAAGGCATCAGAATTAATTTTATAAAAATGATTTAAAAGTATCAAAATTTCATAAAAAAAGATCGACAATTTTAAATTTTCATTATCAGTTTGAATGTTTATCAAAACTATGATTCTGCTTTAGAATATTTGCTAGAGTTTGAGTTTTTTATATTTTTCAACCAACTTATGTCTTCATTAGGGACTTTTTTTGGAAAATTGTAGATAATAGTTTCATGGTAAAAAGCTATTACTTGATATGTATACATTTTACCGAAACTGACTTATGAACATCGGTGTGTTCGTCTCAGTGAGATCTAAAAGATTATACAACTTTCATGTCAGAAGTTTATATTACAGACGAAGCAATAACTTGATGTATGCTCTTTTGTAAAGTTACCAAACGTCAACATATCAAGTAATTAGTACTCGTGTATTCCTAAGAAGAAACTACGGTAGTATAATTTTACACAAATCAATTCATCAGGGATGGATATTGGATTGGTAAAAATAGATCAAAAATTAGGAGTTTAATGTTTATCAGGAATAATTTTAGCTTTTGTCAAATTATCCAGGACGTTATTTAAATTTTTAATAGATAGAAATTTCGTTACCTCGCCCGTTCTATAAACACGCCGCTGGTGTTAGGTAATAGTGATCCAGTTAATAGAATTCATTGAGAACACGATCCGAAACATGTAATTGTGTGATTACTATCTTCCTCCTGACTATGCATTTAAAGTGTGTTAATGTTAATCTTCGTAGGAAATGCACTTACCAGCGTCGATTTCAAACGTGCGGCCTCCATTTGGAGTGATTAAATGGTTCTTTTGGAGGCAGTCATTGGAACACTTCAAAAGCGTCTGGCGTTTCCTTAAATTTTGCAAATCGAATGACTGATAATCTCCCGTGCGGGAATTTATTTCATTTCTCTCCCTTGGGCTGATTTTGAGTTAATCGTAACTAAATTTAATGTTAATTATTTTAATTTATGTCATTGAGACGATCCTTAAGACAAACAATATAAAAATAACTTAATGATTCACCAAAATCTTGAAAATATCGCGGACTGTGATCGATAATGTGAATCTGAAGAAAAATGAATCAAAGTCCGTAGAAGAACATCGTGGCTACAAAGTTTTCCTGCTCGCTTTGCATTTTGGTGCAGGGAAGGAGAATTAACAAGTTGTTGTATTATGTCCGAGTGGTTGGAGTAGTCTTATAACCGGCAAAAGAGTTAATATTGAAAAAAATACTTAACAAGTTTATTTTTTTGAAAAAGATGTATAATAGGAACCATGTAAATTAGTCATTTTTTTACTAAACACAAACAAAAAACACTTAATAATTTAGGATATTTTCATTAGACATATTAAACTAAACTTACATAATTCCACAAAACCATAAATTTGAAAATTATATTACCATCTTAAAATCGCCATAAAATTGATATAAAAAATCAAATGCTACGTCTATGGAACCAAATGCTTCAAAATTGCTGATTAAAGTTGACTATATATTTGTTGTCGATTTGCTTAAATATAGGATCATAAAAAAATCAATGTTCTGATATCATTAACTAACAGGAAAGGGAGGATACAGATAAAAAAGTTTTCTCCATATTAACCTTCAATTACTTCAATATTTTATAAACGTTAATACGTTTCATTTCCGTTAGATACATCAGCGCACCATAAAGTATCAAGTCAGTAATGTTTTTACTGTTAACTAGGATTTCTCACCAAATTTTGTTTAGAATATTTCTTCATTTCCTTTTCTTTCTATAAACAATAATCAGTCATATTGTAGACAGCTTCGTCTAAATAAAAAAAAAATATATTTTCCAGGCATACCCTAAATACGAATTCAACTATGGAGTAGCTGACGGACACACTGGAGATCACAAATCACAAAAGGAAAGTCGCGACGGTGATGTTGTGAAGGGTTCCTACACTGTTGCCGAACCTGACGGTACTCTCAGAACTGTCCATTACACCGCTGATGATCATAACGGTTTCAACGCTATTGTCACGAGGTAAATATTTTAAACTTGACAACAATGCATTTGTGAATGCAATGTTGTCACATTAAATCTCAGATCTTCTACATAGTTATCTATTTACAGGTCCGGACATGCCGTGCATCCTCAAATAGTCCATAGTCATGCCGTAGCACCAGTAGCTCTTTCATTAGGACATGGACATGGCCTTCATTGATGATCTCAAAGGCTTATAGAATGTGTTGCTCATTTATGTATATACCTCATAGGTTGTTTTTGCTAGTGTTGTTCGTTCTTCTTTGTAGCATGTATTGTATCTCATCTTCGCCATATTTATTTTTTGTATTCAAATAAAAGACTATCGTTATAATGAAACAATTATTTTTATTTATTACCTTCTCTTTTAAAAAATGTCGGAATTTATTTTGCGAAATTGAAAACCAACTTAAAATATAACTTTATTTCAAAATTGGAAAGCAACAATACATTTTAATGTTAGAATAGTGACTTATAGTGACTTCTCTGTACGTCTTTTAGAAATAACATTCTGATTTTCTTTCTCTTTTAAGCATAACATGTATTATACTACAAACAAATATCTTGTTACCATTTTTAAATTTTTGTGTAAAGTTTATAATTTATATATAATACCTATTATAATCACTTGAAATAGTTCTTTAGAACATCTTAGAACTGGTTTTTTAAAATATCTTCGGATTATTTGGTTATTTTCTTGTAAATCTTTTAGAGTTGCTCCTTTGAAACTAATTCCTGCCATTGTGTAGAAAAATAAGGATATTTTTTTATATCTACAAGCTGTTTCTTATCCTTGTAAGTCTTTAAAAAGTCCTTAGATCCTTTTGAATCTTTTAAATTTAGGTTCTGTTTTTCACTTAAAAAGTCCTTCAATCCTTTGTAACTTGTTCCTAACAACAATTTAGAAAATAAGTTGGTATCTAGAAACTGATCTTCTCTTGAGGATTCACTGGAATCCTTTAGATTTATTGCCTGCTCTTCTCTTGGGATTTCTGTAGGATCTTTTAAAATTTGTCTTGGAAATTGTTTACGAAAATTGTTTTGAAAGCCCAAATTGAAACTATTTATTAATTGTTCCTGATGCTGGCCTGGAGTATATTTTTGTACTGTTTTGTAAGATTTAGTTTGATCTAATAGGCCATTGTTACTTTGCTTATAATTTTTTACATGTTTCCATCGTCTCCACAAATCTTGAAATCTTGTTTTCGGAGTCGTCTTCATCGTAATCAAATTATTGCATCCATTACAAGGTGAAGTAGGTAAATCACCGAAGATGTCGCCTCTGCAATGGTTCTTGAGATGAATACTTAAATGCATAGTAACTATGGATAACGCTAGGACGTAAATCAAAAATTGTATGACTATCCAAAAGAGTACCACTGATAATGGTGTCAGATTCTTAAACAGGTCTTTGATAATCCATGCTGCTGTCGCTTTATCTTTTATTGGTCTTGAACCTCTGCTTTTTTCGAAAGGATCTTCATCGTCTACCGTTATGATACTTGTCATAATTATTTAAAGTTAATTTGAGTTTGACGTACAAAGGTTTCGTTTTGACAGTTATTATACAGCCTTAGATTATACAAACTGTAGATGTGGAATTATAAAAACACTTTGGAACCTATTTTACACTGACTAATCACTTGTCATAATGCTGTTTATACAAATTACATTAAAATCTATGGAGCCAACGGGAAAAAATTTTATATTAGGGACTTATATTGTGGAAATTAATGTATTAGATGCCGATGACACTAAATTAAAAAAAAATAAACCCTTTAATCTTTCTTGTTTTATTGGGAAATTTTTTTTCAAGAATCTCTTTATCTACAGCAAGTAAACTTATAGAAAAAAAAATATATAACAAAGAACAAATTATTTGATAATTCTTTATTTCGATACAAAAATATAGGCATGTATTTTTCTATTAATAATGACCATATTCTGATAAACCACCTTTTTGTGTTAAATAAGTAGAGGGATGTTTCTGGTATCCTGCTTTATTTACATGGGCAATAAAACCATTATGGTCATCAGCTGTATAAGTCACTGTCCTGATGGTACCATCTGGATCATGAACCTGATAACTTCCTGAAAAATCAAGAATTGTTTTACAATAGAATATAGATAAATATAATATAGGACTGGTATATAAAGAAGGCAACAGACAACAGGCAACAGAAACTAAGGAGATTTATAATACTGAACATAAAACTAAATTTAGATATTTACATCTACAAACGTTGAGTGCAAAATTCATAAAAGTTTTAATTTAAATATTTAAATATAACAGTCATTAAAAAACCTTCAAAGTATAATTATTATCTCAATTATAATATAAGGCATCAGAAACTTCACGGCAACCTAAGTTTGATCAATGGAATGGTACAAGAATCTATAAGATACAATCGGTCAAGGTACAGAGGTGACCGGGGTTATCTAAAACAAAGTCAGGCTAGTCCAGAAAAAAAGATCTTAAACAATAGTTGACACTGCATGTTTTTATTTCTTCTCGATCATAAATACTTGTAGAGCCCTATATACAATTTGGAGCATCTTCAACTTATCTTTAAGTTAGGTATAGATTGAAAATGAGTGGGAAATTATAAACAAAACATTTTAGGGATTTTGAATTGGGTTAGACTTGTTTCAACATGGTAGGCTCCAAAGATTTGGAACCTAATTATTTTTCCACACAGCAGAATCAACAGTCGAACGAGTATGGAAGACCTATTCTTCAAATCATTGCATAGATAGTATCCTGCCTTCAATACGGTAAGAATGCCTAGATCGTTCTACTTTATTCGATGGTCTGAGCAGAGAAGTAAATTAAAGGATTTAGTATAAATTTTATCTAATAAGTTAGTTATTAGATCTTCAAATTAGAGTATCATCTTTCGGAATATTGTTATTTTCGAAAATACATACAATTCAAATCAACATTAAAGCAACTCGATTACACCTAAGGGTTGTAAGAACAGTTATCATAATTATTTTAGGCTCAAAATGTTAAAGTATCCAAATATAGCAGTTTTTGGCAAGTTTTTTCAAGTGCTTGCCGAGTGTTACCAATTTGAACATTAAACTGGTATGCATCCCAAGATTATTTGCACATTTAAACATAAAAATTAAGGCCAGCAGGATTTTGATAAGCTAAATGAATGACAGTCGCTAGACAACTCTCAGCAGCAATCGGCAGATTTTTGACAAGTTTAGAGGTAAGTTTTATGTTCCCCTGGGTAATATACAATGAGTCTAGTTAGGTCTAAATGTTGTTGAACAGCTCTTGTCAAAACTAGAGGATGATACATCAAAATGTGCCTACCTATTTCTGATAAAATATTATATATTTCTAAAAACTTACCTCTAACTTTATCACCATCTCTCTCCTCATACTGCGATTTGTTATCCCCTGTATACGGATCCTTGACACCATAGTTAAATTTATACTTGGGATAAGCGTAATAATCTATGGCAGAATGACTATTTGCAGGGTATTGAGGATATTGGATTATGCCTGCTTGACAAATGGTTATTGCCATACAAATAATAGAAAGCTGAAAAAAAATGTTACTATTTCTTACAAGTAAAAAAAGAAATGTTACGTAAAAATAGAAGAAATTAAAGACGAAAATGTTTTGAAAGATGCAAAATATAATAAAATGTAGAAATGGACTGAAAATGAAAGAATGCATTAAAAAATAAAAATAAAATATAACACAATACAATTAAAAATATCAAAAAAGAGAAAAATAAATGGTAATAAATAAATTTTTACTATTGCTATCAGTTCTTTATACAAAAGATTCTACTGGACGCAAGATGGAAGAGCTTAAATTTCTGACAGCAATTGCTAAGAAAAAAATGACATCATATATTAGAAAATATAAATGTATAACTTAAAAATAACTCAAATTGTTATTGGTAAACATTGATCAGAAACAAATATATATTCGAAAGCATAGGCCAGATAGAAGAAGAGATTATTAAATAAAATTTACAAAAAAGGATCGATAAAAACGCGGAAAAAAGGAAAAATATAGATAAAACAATCGGAAAGATGTGGAGTTGACAAAATAATTTAATTAGCGGCTGATAAGAATGTAAAAATGCGATGCAAAAAAATAAATATAAAGAGGAAGCGGAGAAAAAGAAGAAGAAGCAGGAGAAGAAGAAGAAGGAGAAATATTATTTACTGACTATTCTGTTAAACACTATTTATATATTTATATATTAATAACAAAATATTATTTAACTATGAAAAACTTACCTGCGAAATCATTTTTTTTAACTTCAGATATTTCTAACAAAATCAATTTTATGACTGAACGAAACCGAAGAATTTTTCCCTTTATATATTAAGCAAATACTAATAACAAAATAATTCAAATTTTCGCAATATCGCGATGAAAAGCGGAAACACTTGCAGTATTCATTTCAAAAATATTTTAGATAGGTATGTAATATTGTATTCTTCATTTGAGAGTTTCACTTATGCATCAAAGTGAAATCTGATAAAAAAAAATGTAATCGTTCAGGATGTTTTAATTTTTAATATCAGGTTACGGGTTATAATCAAAATGCGATCGACGATCTAATTAATCAATATTTATATACAGGGTCTGACAATAGTTAGGGTATACTTGCTTTTTGTTAATTTAAGACTTTGAAAGTAAATAAAAAAGTGAACAAAAGAACGTAAGTTCTTTTTTATAGTTACTAGTTACTGCCATATGGTCTAGAACTTTTTTTGAAAGGATTAGTCCTATTCTTCTACATTGAAAAAAATATGTTTTGTACACCGTATGCAACAAGGATTATTTTTTTTTTCACTTTACTCCTTGTGTTCTATAATCCTGGGATCGGAAAACAGCGTTGTGTAAATAGAAAATATATTCATTCTTATTCATCTACACATTTATATGAGGTGGAGATTGTAGAAATAATGGCGCCATACGAAAACAGTTTTAGAAAAAACAACATATCCTACTACTTACAGTAAAAATTTCTCAAAATAATGGAGTCATAAAAAAGAAGATTTTTAGACAAATTAGAATAAATAATTAATTCAAAAGTCCGCTTTGAGAGCACTTGGCACAATAAAAAGTAGACATATTCTACGATTTACAGTAAAAAATTCAACTCATCAAAATAGTGACATTATACGAAAACGAGGAATTTTGGAAAAGATACAATAAATCAACTTATACTAATAAAACTCATCAAAACAAACGTAAAATGCTCAGAGATTACCGACAAAACCTGGTAATTAAATCAAAACAAAGACATTCAAAAATTAGTAATTTCAACAACACACCTGGGTACCCGTAGCCATGGCTATTTTTATTATTTTGTATCCTGTCAATAATTATTAAAAACAATATAAAAAATATTCAAAAATCCACAAAAAAACCGAAATCTCTAGACCGTAAAACCCCTATAAAGAAGAAAATAACAAGAAAAGTTATTGATCTTAAACAGTCAAAACATTCTACCTGAAGGCACCACTATAGGTATCCTATATTTTTTATATTTTTTCAATAGGTTTTGTTCACTATAATATTCAAATAATCAGTTATTTATTTATAAACATTCAGTATATTTTATTTTTAATTGCGTTTGAATTAGTAATTCCTTCTCGGTCCACTAAGCATAATTTTAAGAGGTCCGCGGTATCAGTGTCATGGTCAAAGCTTTAATATAATATGTAACAAATACCTACTTTCATTAAAATTCGAGAACATTTTTATCAGATAAAATGAACCAATATTATTAAATTATAATTTATGGTTAAGAAATTGATTTTAAAGCAGCCGATTGCATATATGTATATACGTTGATGTAGGAAACTCATTTTTTTAATCAATTTAAAATCCTGATTTTGGATGAATTCAATTTTTATAAAATAAATTTAAAAGGTATCACATATTCAAAATATTTGCCGATCAATACACAGTTGCTTAATTTGGGCGCTAGGTGGATAAAGCGTTCAAGCAAATGTTTTAAGACATATCCCAGAAACAAATGTTTGTTTTTTTTATATCTTATCTATATTTAGGTTAGTATTAGGAAAAAAATATTCCATGTACTCTTAGATTGTGAGAAATCAAAGATTGTTTGTCTTTAGAATTTGTTAGATAGTCACTGTTAAGATCACCACCACAAATTAAAATATTGTGATATGACTTACATAAAAATCTCCTGGTCGTAGTAGAATTTTATATAAATAACAAGTTCTTTGGTTCTTTCGGTCAAATAGTTTTAATTTTTTTATATTTTAAGCACTACACATTTGAACTTTATAATCGGCTTACTGTAACCGGAAAAACCTGCACCTTTATGTGGATCATAAATCATACCAAACTTAAAGGTAATGAGCTAGCAGATGATGCAGCCAAAAAAGCAGCGCATTCCCCAATCGACCAAGGCATCTTCGTTGCCTTTGAAGACATGAAATGTTTTATAAAACTAAGGAATAAATTTGAATGGCAAAACCGCTGGAGGACATATAAAGGACAACTACTGTAATATATATTAGGCCCAATGTGAACAAATTAACTTACCCTAAATATTTAAATAAACGAGAGCAGGTTATCTATTGTCGACTTAAAATTGGACACACTAATCTGACTCATTCATACATTTTATCGGGTCACGCAAGACCAAGATGTAATCACTGCAATCGATATCTGACAATTCCTAACATGTGCCATGCATACTCAAGTCAGAAACCAAATCAATATTCATCCAGAATAAAATGTAACATATAATAACTTACCATATACACAGCCAATGATCACAGCAATCGAAGCTGCAAAAAAAATAATAATAATAATAACTATATTTCATTGCCATATGCAAAAGGATTTTCAGGACAAGTTTCTAAAAAATAGTTACAATGGACCAAATTAAACTAAGTAGTAACTTTAGTTTAATTTGGTCCATTGTAACTATTTTCCAACATTATTTTGTAGTCTACCCTGATGATGGAAATGACTAAATAAATTTCCGAAAGCTTTAATGAAGTAAAAAGAGTTTTCTTTGACTTATTATTTGCTGAATTCCCCAATAATTGGTTGGAATACCATTTTAGTTCCTATATATTAATATAATGTTCTTCCTTAAGCAAAATATCAAGCTGGCGTATGGACTTAATTCAGCCTATAAATAATTATCCTTAATTTCAATACAGCCGACTATCAGTTTATTAATAAAACTCTTCCTTTTCCGTAACTAAAAAATAAACCTAATTAAATTCGTCCTTGGATTGTTGCTGTAGAATCACACACTTGTAAATAGATAGATTTTACACTACCAATACTATATGAATCAAAACGGGGTCACATTCTTTTATTTCATAATAATAACCGTTTTAAAGGTCGAATCTAATATTTTGGCATCATGCTCTTAGGATCGGACTACTCCCATCTTTGGCAATAGCGGTATATAAAAAGACAAAGTAATCATTTTTAAATTAGTCTAATCTCGATAGTAAAATTTGTAGTACCAAAATGTTCTCCAAAGTAAGTACCAGGGTTAATAGAATTAAAAAATGTTTAAAAAAGATTATATTAAAAAATATTAATTTATTTTTGAAATTTTATTTTATATTTAAAATGTTTTTAATTTACATTTTTGTATTTAATAGGAAAATTTTGAATAATTAATTTGATTTTTAATATTGTAAGTATTAATTGAGTTTTTTATATTCTATATTCAACTTTTTCACTGTCCAAGTTCTTCCCAAACTTATTTGTTAATATTTCCTCTAGTATGCTATTTTTCTTACACGTTTTACTTCCTTTATGTTCAATTGTAATTACTCTGATTAAATTTTCACCAAAATACCGTTACACTTTTTAAAATAATTTAAAAAATTTAGTAAAATACACATTTTTTCTTTCCATTATAATATTTTGGTATCCTTTTTGAATTATTTCTCTTATTCTTTCTTTAACTGTTTGTTATACTGTTAAATCTAAATACTTTTAAGTTTTTTAATCTTTCTTTATTTTTGTTTCATATTTTTGGTCAACATGTATTGAATAAATTCATTTTTAGCGTTATATACTCTTGGGAAAACAATTCTTAACAGTTCTTAATTTGACAATGATTAGTATAAAAATATTACCCCCTATTGCACCTCTTGTGAAATATGAGCACCCCTCGAAAATTGTATACAAATTAAATTAATTATTTCTTATTTAAAAGTTTCGAGGAGGGGCTAACAATTCAGAGGGGGTGCTAAAAGTGGGGGTAATACTATAAATTATCAAATTAAGAATAGAGGTTTTTTCTCAAGAGTACATAATAACACTAATAATGAATGTATTCCATATAGTTTTTAAGTAAATAAGCCTACATTAATAAATATGTTAAGTACTTTACAAATCTCTATATTGATTTTTCATTTCGAGAAATACCTCTTGATGACTCACCTGAGTTTGACAAGTAGAAAAATATTTTTAGTATAACTACTAACATTTCGTTTAATATTTTATAAAACTGGATTCCTATTATTTGCAGAATTATTATAAAAATAAATATATTTTTTTGATTTCAGATCTTCGCAGTAGCTACCCTCGTAGCAGTAGCTAACGCTGGTCTGTTCGACTTCGCCTCCCACAATGCCCCAGTATCTCATGTATCATCTCATTCGAGCCACGTAGCCCATGCAGCTCCAGTACACCACGGTTACGCTGCCCCCATCGCTCATCATGGATACGCTGCTCCAGTGTCTCACCACAGCTATGCCGCCCCAGCTGTCCACGCCTATGCCGCTCCAGCTGTACACTCTTATGCTGGCCCAGCTGTCCACTCTTATGCCGCCCCAGCTGTCCACTCTTATGCCGCCGCCCCAGTTGCCCACCATGCGTACGCTGCTCCTGCCTTCATCAATTCTGCTCACCATGCTGAAGACTTCAACGTAAGTATTTAATAATTATAACAAATTTTGATACATCTGGCATTGATCAGTTTCCAGAATTAGATAATATAAATTTAATAGTAATAATGTTAAGAAATTCAAATCGATCTCTTCGCGCCAGACAGTTCTGGTAGCTTTTTACACCATGCTCATACTACACTCATACAATTACATGGAAAATAGCTATTTTAGCAAAGCTATTGTGAGATAGGAATTAAGAAATATAACGCCATTAAGGCAATAACTGTTTTGAAAAATTTTTACATGTTTTGTCATGGCCAGATATAAAATAAGCAGCATCAGAACTATGACGATCCCAAAAATCGTGCTCCTCTACGCTACGACATATATATTTACTAAGAAAGCAGTGTCGTATTAATCAAAAGATTTGCTGATCAATTTTGGAAGATATGGTTTAAGGAATATGTACCAACTCTCATAAAAAGGAATAAATAGGGTTATGCAACGATATTGCCATTTTTAAAATGTCCTTTAAACTCTCTGGTTATTTTTTGAAAATAAAAATTTAATTCAAAAACAATTGTGATCCAATGGCATCTGCTTTAGTTTCATCCGTTCTTTTTTCTTTCTTGTTTATTGAATAGAAATTTAAATACTTATCAATTTTATTTATTAGATGGTTCCTTTATTCGCAGTTGGTTCTGAAAAGGTAGTAATACTTGTGTAAGATGTTTTAATTAGTTAGAGTTTTAAAGTTAAAACATTTTAATATTGCCTAGTTATCTAGATTTTCTAAGGACTATGTAAACTGACCTATTAAGATTTTAATTTAGGAATATAGTGTAAAAACTGGAAATTTTGAAAAAGTTAACGAAAGTAGAACTAATTTTTATAATATCTTTAACCACCCCCAAATTTCTCTTTTTACTTTATAAAATTCAATTTATACACCCTAACTTTCTGCTTGAATTAAAAATATCAACAAATACTGTACTTTAACTTAAAAAATTTGCTTTCAGGCTCACCCCAAATACGAATACAACTACGGAGTCGAAGATGGCCACACTGGTGACCACAAATCCCAACACGAAACCCGTGATGGTGACGTAGTTAAGGGATACTACACCGTTGGAGAACCCGATGGTACCCTCAGAACCGTCCACTACACCGCTGATGACCACAACGGTTTCAACGCAGTCGTAGAAAAATCTGGACACCCCGTACACCCAGCTCCAGCCCCAGCTCATCATCATGCCCCATTATACCATCATTAGGGTCTTTATTGCCATTGAAAATGTTATTTATTTGTTGGAAATGAATTGTGTATAGTGTTTTATTTTATATAAATTTGCATTAGACTGAAATAATTGTTTCATTTTTAATCAGCTGTACCTAGTGGCTTTGAGCTTTGAGCCATATCTCAGGAATCGGTTATTATACGGCAGACACCGAGCACTATCGATAACACCATCGATAATAATCGATGTAAAACTATCGATATTATTCGAAAATATTTTTTTTTAGAGTCTGACGATCAGACCAGATCACGACCGAGATCAAACTGATCAGTAAATTTGGTCAATTGATCAGCTATTTTATAGGGTTTTATATGGAGAAATAAAATACAATTAAAGAGTTAAAATATATGTAAAAGGGGCTAAGTGCCAATGACAACACAGAGTTTTTTAGCAACTAGCACTTAGCTAACTAGCACTAAGCTAACTATCACTCATCCAACATTTACCTGGGAATCAATGTATAAACCTCAAGCAATGAAAATTTTTTTTTATAAAAACATAAAAGTCATATTTCAAGCTACAAGGGCTCAGGCTTTAAAAAAAAGAAATATTGATTATTAACAATTTTCAGTTAAGTATATTGTAAAAGGAAGTGTTTCATTTTTATTAGGAAGTCTGTATCTTAAAAACCGGAGTTGTCAAACATAAAACATTCATATTTTGAAACTTTCAAAAAGTTATAAATATGTATTTTAGAATTTTTTAATTATCTGACGATTACCTACTTTCACTGGATTAAAATGTGATCCAGGATTTGTCCCATTAGAAAAACCGATTTACCATACAAAGTTGTGGGAACATGTACATTTCCTATTTACAAATAACATGCCATGACAACTATATACAACTTCTGTGGCGTTCATGACAATAATTCCGATGAAGAAAGGTTAATTTAACTAAGCTACTACACTGATTGGTTTTATTATTTAAGTTAAATCTAACAAGCGATCTTTAACATAACTTTTTTAATGCAATCTTTTCCGAGTTATTGAATTACCCTATATATTAAAGAATACTTTTGAAAGATGGTCGTCAACACTTTTTTATTTAAAATTTTTTCATATTATCAGTAATAAAACAATTATATTACAACTACGCAATAATGAGACACCCTGTATATGTATAATATTAGAATTTACAGTAAAACAATTGTAAGTCTTTAGTTTTATTTATCAAAAATGAATGTTAAGTGAAAATGTAACACTTTGACGAAACTTTTTTAACGTAACTATTCCCGGGCTAATGAACTACCTTATATATTGAAGAATACTTTTAAAAGATGGTGGTCAACAGTAGGTAACACTTTTTTACTTAAAATTTTTTTTTCGTATCGCCAATAATAAAACTATAATATAACTAAGCAGTCATGAGACCGTATATGTATAATTGGCTAACATGCTGATTCTTTTAGATAGGTAAATTCATAAAGAATTAAAAACTTTAAAACCATATCCCTTTTAGCTAGTAATCTAGTATTTTTTTGTGATTTGAAATACCTACAAATGCCTTATTAATTCAGCTAATCCTTCTGTCAAATGCAGACTGGACTTTCAAACTCTACCCCCTACCATCCTCGTCTCCCAAGCAATCCTTCAAAATTAATTATGTATTTTACAGTACATATAGTACTTTTACACTTTCAGTTCATAAAAAAACTAAAGTGTCGGAAAATCAATTGACATTAAACAGCAATTTACGCTCCAAGCTGATCCAAAGTGGTAATACTGAATAAAACATTATTCAAATAAGGTCAATGCCTGATTACCACGCCACGATTGACACCCAAGATCGAAAATATAGATGGCAATTATAAGGTATTATAATTTTAACTATTACCTAAGTTTTCTTTGGTAAGTGCCTGTACCTAAGCGAAAGGATTTGTGGGCGTCGACGAATCTCAGGGACAGTTGTAAATATTGGTGTGCATGTATGAAGGAACAAAAAAATTCAATTCAGATTGATGATAGTTGGCGCTGTTAATTTTCAAAAAATATTCACACGATATTCTTTAGTTTTACATTTCACCTTCAAGATTTTCTAAGTAATACAGTAGATTATACAGTAAGGTGCAAATGTAAGGAATGCATTATTTCGTTACTTGTAATCTAACACCCGTATTTTTAATTTTTGAAACACTGGTTTTGTCAAATATTTTTTTTAAATATCAATAATTTAAAGTAATTAAGATTTTAAAACTGTCAAAAAAATATTTAAAAACTTTGCAACAAAAAATATCTGTAAAACACGATTGGATTCGAACCACGGGCCCTTGGTTTCACAAGTCCAGACTCTAACCACTGACCCACCTCCTTGAATTAAAAATTATAACTCATGAAAAATATTTGCATTAATATATTTGGCTAATCAAAGCACTTTTTCAACAATAAATAATTTATACAAAAACAAATCAGTCAACAATTAATGATGGTAGTAAGCTGGAGCTGCATGATGAGCGGGAGCAGCATAATGAGCTGGAGCAGCATAATGAGCGGGAGCAGCATAATGAGCGGGAGCAGCATAATGAGCGGGAGCAGCATAATGAGCGGGAGCAGCTACTTTTCCGTGTGTAGGATGTCCAGAATTTTCTACGACAGCGTTGAAACCGTTGTGGTCGTCAGCGGTATAGTGGACGGTTCTGAGGGTACCATCAGCTTCGGCTACGGTGTAGTATCCCTTGACTACGTCACCATCACGGGTTTCGTGTTGGGATTTTTGGTCACCAGTGTGACCATCTTGAACTCCGTAGTTGAATTCGTATTTAGGATGGGCCTGAAAGAAATTTAATGTATTTAAAATCGCATACAGAGTTTAATCCATCTTTAAATTAAGTAAAATTAATTTAAGCTTGATACCCTTAGAAATTGTTCACCTTTCTTTCTGATAAGTATTATCTAGTTAAAATTAAGAACATAAAATTTAATTACTCTTGTCCAAGATTAAAAAGTTTATGATCCAAACGAACTGATTTTAGTACTGCTTTAGGATTATTCTTAGAGAAGAACAAAAATTAACAAAATCAAACATAAGGTAAAAACTGGATTTATTTTATTTCTAGAATATTTCTAAAATAGCACATATCCATGTAGGTGCAGAAAAAATAGATAATACAACATGTAGGTTGTTTTAGTTTAGTTTGCAGTGTTTTTAATACTTACATAGTAGTCTTCATGATGAGCTTGTTTGGCATAAGTTGGGGCATGGTATCCGTGGGATACAACTGGAGCTGCTACATGAGATGAGGAGTATGAACTAGCGTGACCGTAGTCCAAGACACCAGCTTGGGCTAGGGCAGCGAGTGCAAGTACTGATAAGATCTGGAAAACCAAAGTAAATAAATTTTGGTGTAATTGTTAATTTTGGATATAAATAATTAAATACAAAATAAGTAAAACCATAAAAATATCTAAACTACAAAAAATGTAAATAATCTGAATGGCAAATCTAACTTTTATTCTTGTGAGAAAAATATGAGTAAGTAAAAAAAAAGTAATATCTTTGTACTATTCTTTTTCATTTAAAACAGAAGTTCTACATAGCGTAAACATAAAGAAAATAAGGAGCAAGTAATTATAGAATAGTTTTTAAATATAAATCCAAACAAATTTAAAAAAGAATATAAATATTTGTAAAAAAAATCAAAATAGTTCAAAAATTGCATCTTATTTGAAACACCCGTTGTTTTTTCAATGCCTCTTTAAGTAGTCTTACTGAAAAATTCAAACGTTCAAATTTTATAAAAAAGATGATAAAATTTAATGTAAGGTCATTTTGTAAATAACATTATAAGAAGCGAATTTCCTTACTTATATATTTATTTATTTATTTATTTATAAACAATAGTTTAAATTTGAATAACACTTACTTTGGAGTACATTATTGGTCCTAATAAAATGACTGTCGACTGTGACTAAACTAAATCGTTCAAAGCTTTTTATACTTAACCAAGAATTGCCAAAAGAAGCAATGTTAAAATTCCTTTCATATACGAAATAAGAACAATTTTAAGGCTAATACACCCGAATTTTGACCTAGATATTAAATCAGATATCAGTATTGGTACATAATTAATAACGAACATTAGACGCATGTTTTTTTTAATAAGATATTTATTTAAAAATGATAAAAAGTTATTTAAAAAAATATTATTATAGTCGTATAAAATTCGAAATTGAAAAACTTGTTTTCTGTTATTTTGGAAATTAGTTGGTTAGATTTATAAAAATATTTTGGATGAAGTTGTTAAAAAGAAAGAGAAACGTTTAAAAAATAAAACGCGTAATAGAGTTATTTTTTTTATTTGTTAATTTTTTTTAAATAAAACTAAAAATAAAATTGAGATTATATTTTTACATAGCTATAGAAAGCATTTTTACTTAGCATAACTTACTACTAACACCGTTGCGGATTTTGTTCCAATTTAATCATTTACTATCCTTTAATTTGTCTAGATGGCGCCAAAATTTTTGTTAGCTACTAAACACTAAATACGTAACCGTAGGTATAAAAACCCCGAGTTGGTGACCCTAAATTCATACTTACCTGGCGTAGGGGTCAACCGTGATCAATAAGGCGGTTCCCCCGGGACGAGGCCTTTCCATTGCACTACGGTTGGGCTGAAACCTGCGATTATCCCTAATGCGGATAACTCGGGCGCAGAATTTTTGGTAGTCGGGACTGCGTACGCGCTGTCCCGGATAAATAAATAAAAACATAAACAACTTTTAAAATATTATCCCAATCAGTGCTGGTATATGATGACACGACTTTGAAGTGAATTTTTGGGTTCAAACATTTTTGAAGAAGAACTCGACAGAATATTGACCTTCAGTCAGAAGATTCATCTTAAGAAAGAAACATATGGGGTTATGATGGACAAATAATGTTATTTTTAACAGACACGTTATTTGTGAATAAGTTGTTATTTCTGTGTGTTTATAAAATAACAGACCTGTTAAAAATAACACAGCTTGTCAATCATAACCCCCATAATATATTCGTGCATGCTTAAATAATCAATAATAATAAAATTATTCATAAGAGTTTAAATTTGTCAACTTTTCTTAATAATATTATTATTAAGACTAAATCAATTATAAAAGGTCTTATGCTTAATACTACTACTCTATTAATAATTTCACTACAAATACTCAATGGAAAAAATATATGTCGTTGTTTCTGTCGTAACTCATCATAGGGGTCTCCACAATAATACCTTTTTCAAAGTATACACACATTTTAAATAAATTGGAACATTTTACATAGTTGATATCGTTACTCTAATCATTGATGTCTCTTTGAAAAATATAAATTATTTAAATTTAAATAACATTTACTCTTTTATGACAATAATTTATAATTTGGTAGTTTCTGTTCTAACTAGGCATTGATATCTTTTTGAATATTCGTCTCTGACCGCCCAAATAAGAATTCTTAAAACATTTTTAACTATGTACTAAGCTCTTTTTAATTACTTGTGAAGATATGTTCATTATACTTCGTGATATAGGTGGAAAAGCTCTGGTAACTTCAATTTTTAAATAGATTATGTTTAAAACTTTTAATATTTCTTATTAAATAAAAAATAATTAAAAGCAATAATATAAATTTTTAATTCATTACTCTAGCAATTTCAACATGTTTTACATAATAATATGATGATAATAAATATTGTGGTTTATTACGTTTAAATTTGGCAACTGCAGTATCTCAGGCGTACTACATATCTTCATTCATACTTTATTGGGTCAAATATCTGTCACCCTTTAGATAACCTTGCATTGTAGCACTTCTAGTAGAGGACAAAAGATTAAACTCACCTCGTTGGTAACCTATGTTGCCAGAAATCAGATTTTATTTATATCATTATAATAAAGATTTTGATTTTTAGACGCGACACATCTTATTTAATTTGATGACATTATTAAAACCAAGATCCCTCGGTAACTTAAGACATTTTGTTGCTAACGTTAAGTGCGAGCTTAAATTATAGCCTGTTTTTATGATTTTAGAGGATAATTTGAATATTGAATATTTAGGATGGTGAAGAAATGTATAGTATGTCAAAATACATGGAACAAGAATGTTACGCAGTTATTCCATAGATAATCTTAGCATAGTGGTAGGTATATACAGGGTGTACGGAAATTGGGTGTATATGGAGCTACCACAGATTTATGACCTCAAAATAAGTTAATTTAACCAAATACCTGTATCTATATACTAACTTCCTTCGAATGGCCGCTAGAGGTCAACAAATTTAAATAACTGTTTTTTCTTTAATCTACAGAATTAGAATAAACTTGGTATAAACTCTAACAGCCGTATGCATAGTCGATCGCCAGCGACTCGCCAGAGATTCATTTCGGCGTATCGCCAGCGATTCGCTGGCGATCCGCCGGCGATCCGCCGGCGAAAGCCCAAAAAGCTGGCGACCCGCCGGAGATTGTCACCGGAATGTCATTTCACGCAAGTTTTTATGTTCTTTTATAGGGAAAAATTTGATATTCGTTCATTATTTTTTGAGTTTTAAGAAAATAAAAACTTGCGTGAAATGACATTCCGGTGACAATCTCCGGCGAGTCGCCAGCTTTTTGGGCTTTCGCCGGCGGATCGCCAGCGAATCGCTGGCGATACGCCGAAATGAATCTCTGGCGAGTCGCTGGCGATCGACTATGCATACGGCTGTAAGTGTCTTATGATCAATTAAAAACAGCAGGAATATTATTTATATTGCCATTTTAACTAAAAAAGAGAAAATTAATTTAACAAACCATAAAAAATAAGCTATTATACCAGATAGCCCAAGAACCCTCTGCAAACTTTGGCCGTCATCTGATAGCGAAATGAAAAACCTAACAGCTGATACCACCTGATTTAATCCCCTTACTTTTAAAGAGGCTAAAGCACAGAATCCTAATATGTAGTTTACTCATTCTATTGACTTTATTTATAGTCAATTTAAAATTTATTATCAGTAATATTTGATTAAATTAAATTACCCATACAGTAATTAACTACTAACATCGTTGCGGATTTTGTTCAAATTTAATCGTTTACTATCGTTTAATTTGTCTAGATGGCGCCAGAATTTTTGTTAGCTACTAAACACTAAATACGTATCCGTAGGTATAAAAACCCCGAGTTGGTGACCCTAAATTCATACTTACCTGGCGTAGGGGTCAACCGTGATCAATAAGGCGGTTCCCCCGGGACGAGGCCTTTCCATTGCACTACGGCTGGGCTGAAACCTGCGATTATCCCTAATGCGGATAACTCGGGCGCAGAATTTTTGGTAGTCGGGACTGCGTACGCGCTGTCCCGGATAAATAAATAAAAACATAATCAACTTTTAAAATATTATACCAGTCTCTCAGTGCTGGTATATAATGACACGACTTTGAAATGAATTTTTGTTATATCCGGTTCAAACACTTTTGAAAAATATTCTAAGAAAAGCTCGACAGAATATTGGCATCTTAAGTACTTCTTCAGTCAACAGATTCATATTAAAAATTAAACAATATTTTCCTGCATGCTTATACTCGTATAATCAATAATAATAAGTTTATTCATAAGAGTTGAAATTTGTCAACTTTTCTTAATAATATGTATAACACTAATGTTATTACTAAGACTAAATCAATTATAAAAGGTCCGTTTATATTGTTAACTTAGCCTTATGCTTAATACTATTACTCTATTAATAATTTCACTACAAATAGACCCAATAGAAAAATATGTCGTAGTTTCTGTCGTAACTTATCATAGAGGTCTCCACAATAATAACTTTTTCAAAATATACACACAATATTTTAAACAAATTGGAACATTTTAAATGTTTGATATACTCACTCTAATTATTGATGTCTCTTTGAAAAATTTAAACATTTATTCTTTTATAACAATTTATAATTTGGTAGTTTCTGTCCTAACTAAGCATTGATATCTCTTTTAATATTTGCCTCTGACCGCCTAAATAAGAATTCTTACAACATTTTTTACCATGTACTAAACTCTTTTTAATTATTTGTGAATATATATTTATTATACTTCGTGATATAGATGGAAAAGCTCTGGCAACTTCAATTCTAACATAGGAAGTAAAGATGTAAGCTTTGTGTACCTATATAAAAATAAAAAAAAAAAATGCACTAATTGATGGCTGAAGGTAGCTGGCGAAACAAGTTTACCAGATGCGATGCGATGCGATACTCTAGAATGGAGAGAATCTTCGAAAAAATGGCTGGTGCGCCGCATTTTTATATAAATAGCCGAATTTTTCAATTTTTAGGTTAGATGTTCCATTATGGCGATAAGATAGTTAATATCATTTAGTATATGAATGTGTTTGTAATATAAATAAGTAATAGTATAAATAAAGTAGGTTATATTAGTGTAAATAAATAATTTATATAAAATATAAATTATTAAAAAAATTAAAGCTACTTGAATTATATTTACACTAAACTACAGGATCCTGGTTTGAACAAAATCAGCAAGTTTCTTGGAAATATAAAAAAGAAAAAGGTTAAATTAAATAGGTGTTAATTCAGATTGGAAATTGAAGGTATAAAACGCAGGGAAAGGGTAGAGGAAAGGGCGCGAATCTGTGAATTTTTAATAAAATTATTGAACGAGATAATTGATTGTTTAGATCAAGTTCAGAGGATATTTGATATTGCCATTCAAGTCTACGTCTCCTATTTTTTTATGACCAATTAAATAATAATTTAATTTTTTTTTCATTAATATATTTGACTATCAACGCACATTTTTACAACAATAAATAAATAATTTAAACAACAATCAGTCTACTTTAATGATGGTAGTAAGCTGGGGCAGCGTGATGAGCGGGGCCATGAGCTGGTGCTGGGTGTGTAGGGTGTCCAGAGTTTTCTACAACAGCATTGAAACCGTTGTGGTCATCAGCGGTGTAGTGGACGGTTCTGAGGGTACCATCAGCTTCGGCAACGGTGTAGTATCCCTTGACTACGTCACCATCACGGGTTTCGTGTTGGGATTTGTGATCACCAGTTTGGCCATCTTGAACTCCGTAGTTGAATTCGTATTTGGGGTGAGCCTTAAGGAAATTTAATAATTTTAAAAACCATATACAGAGTTGAATTTGTCTTAAATATAGTCTTACAATATAACTTTTTAGGAGGCGAAGAAAAAAATGAGTTTCTTTGAAAAATAATAAAGTATTTGTTGCAAAGTGTATAAAAAATTAAATAATAACGTAATAGTTGTTACCTCCTTTTTATTTAAATAATGACATTATAATAGTCTTAAATTAAAAATGGATAAACTTATTTTTAGTTTTTTCTCAGAGGGATATTTGTTTTGTTCTCCCATTTTTCAATACTTAAATAGTAGTCTTCATGATGGGCTTCTTTGGCGTAGGTTGGGGCATGGTATCCATGGGATACAACTGGAGCTGCTACATGAGATGAAGAATATGAACTAGCATGACCATAGTCCAAAACACCTGCGTGGGTTAGGGCAACGAGGGCGAATACTGATAAGATCTAGTAAATATAAATGAAAAATATAAAAAAGTTCTTTTTTCATATAATTTAATATTAAGCGCCAAAAAAATGGCTTTTATTTTGTATTTTATCAATTGGTAGTAAAGTTAATATTTTTTTATTAGGTTATTGTTTTTCATTCCTTTTTTTAAAACTTGAATAATTTACAAAACTAGTTTAGTCTTTTTTTATACAAAAAGTATTTTTAGAATCATAATTCGCTATATATTAGAAATTGCGAATTAATAAATGAATATTTTATATAAATTTCATAATAAACTTCTTTTTGATTCAAAACAATCTTTACTATAATAAATGATTTTTTGAGTTGCTAAATAACAATTTAAAAACAAATTAACACTTACTTTAGAGTACATGATAGCTACTAATGATTTAACTGTCTAATAATTGACTGTGAACCAAACTAAATTGATCAAAGCTTTTTATACTTAAGAATTGCCAAAAGAATCCAATGTCAGAATTCCTTTCAAACGAAATAAGAACAATAACTAAGGCTAATACGTTGTAATGACACCCGAATTTTGACCTAGATATCACATCAGATATAATTATTCTTGGTATGCAAATATTATTGGTAATTTTTTCGTTATTTAATGGTATTATTGCAATTTATTAACGCATTCTTATCTTTTTACGATTTTTTAATGAAAGTTAAACAATTCTGGTAATACATATGTAACGAAACGTATCTTTTGCAAATATGTGTTATGTAATGAAGAATCTAATAAATTAAACATAATTGCAAAAATCAAAACTCTTTAAATATGTTTAATAACAAATTATATTTCTAAGTACAACTCCATCAAATGTGAGAAAGGAACGCGATCTTTGTGCATTGATTTTGGGACATTTGGTTAAATTTAAAAATATTATTAAAATTAACTTTTATTTTAATCCCAACTTTGCAACTCTACAGGGTGAGCTCTTAGAAGGAGTTAATAATAAGGAGCACAGAAATATTAATCTTTTTGCCTTAAAACTTGTATAGTTATACAGTGTGTCCGTAAAGTAAGAAATACATTTATTGTTTGCCAAAATATCCACTTTTAAGGAAATTGTCGAAACAGGTCAACTTTTAATTTCAATTAGTACCATTTTAAACAAATGTTTATATATGCGTATATGTTAGTATATGGTGATGAATATCTTAGTAATTACCCCTTTTTTAACGAGACACCCTATATGTTATTGTTAGAGCTATCTAATCTATTGACTAATTACTACTTTTTTTGTGTTTTATTTCTTCGTTTACTTAATATAAATAATTGTTATTTTATTGATTGATTTTAGTATTGTAACATAAATACTGTCATGAAAATCAAATCTGTTTTATTTGTTCTGGTTTATGATATATATAAAACTAAATATTGCTTAAATTTGTGTAGCTGCAACAGTTATTCAATTTTTAAATTCACTCAATTCAAAAATGTATAACATAGAGCATTTCTGTTCTATAAATACTACGTACTTTAGTAAACCAGTGGATAAATTCGTTAAAAATTTGTGGAATAACTTTTGAAAAAAAATTTCAAAGATGTCGAACTTTATTTGGATATTCTTTCAAATTAAATTAATACATACAGGATGGTTCGTGCAGGAGCAATGACATCATCGATATTTGTTTTTAATAGCAACTTTATCTTTCTTTATGGACGCACTATATAAACTCTCTGTGATATATTTTTGAATTCAGCTTTTCTTGGCAATTTCAAAAATTCAATACTAATATTTGTTCATAATTCTGTATATATAACTTTCTTCAAAATGTTGAAAAATGGAAATTTTAAATTGAAATATTTCGGAAATGAAAAAAAAATATATTTTAGCTCATATTGAATTTATTCCAAAATTTATACACTGTATAGCGTGTACAAAAAGTAACGTATCATATTAATATTTTGATTTCTGATAGGTTTATAAAAAAATGTTTTTCATAAAAGTTTTATGAAATAAATCAAGTCCATTGGACGTCCATTTTGTTTAAATAATTTCCTAAATGTTACAGTCAACCTGTACCATCACGAGTTGATTCTCAAAAAAATTATACATAAAATGAGAAATAAATAAAAAAGCGTAACTAATTTCTTGTGAAATTTTGACCCACTGCTTTTCATGCTCACGTTATTTTATCGTCACTCTATTAAATCCTAACACCATTTTTTCCGGCGCTATTTTATCTGATCTTTTTGAGAATGAGCTTGCGCTATTTTAACCTGTGCGCTGTTTTTTCTGCGCTATTCCGTTCCGCGCTATATTATTCAGTTGAGATGACTGTATTAAAAATTTCTATTAATGACCTGAAAAATAATATTCTTAAATATTATAAATATTAACAAATTCTAATAGATTCCTAAATCAATGTAAAATATTTTCCGTCATTTGTCTCATCTAATGAAGAAATTTCTTGTATTTATAATTTATTGACAAAAATTAAATGTAATTCATTAGATTCCTAATTACATAACACATATTTGGAATAGATACGTTTCGTCATATGTATCAAAATTAGTTAACAATCGTTAAAAAATCACAAAAAGATAAGAATGCGTTAATAATGCCATAAAATACCATAAAAATAACGGCTTATTAGTGAAATAACACCTACAATATTTGCGTATCAAGAATAATGATATCTAGGTCAAAATTCGGGTACCAATAAAACGCTTTAGCATTAGAGTTATTGTTCTTATTTCGTATGAAAGGAATTCTGACATTGCGTTATTTTGGTAATTCTGAAGTATAAAAAGCTTTGATTAATTTAGTCTGGTCACAGTCAATCAGTAGACAGTCAAATCATTAGTAGCTATCATGTACTCCAAAGTAAGTGTTAATTCATATTTGAATTGTTATTTAACAACTTATAAGGACACTTTGGGTTTATGAAACTAAATTACAAAAATATATTCTTACACTTATTATATTAAATTTTTATTTATTAATTAGTAATTTCTAATATTTACCAAATTATCTTCCTAAAAATACTTTTTTATTAAAAAAACAAACACACTAAACAATTTTTAAATTATTCGAGTTTTGAATCAATTTTTTTCACAAAAAGGAGTAAAAACCAATTATTGTTAAAACTAAAAAAATATACTGCACTTACGCCTGTTTAGTATTATTTAATAAAAATCAAAATAAAGGTAATTTTTGGCACCTAATTTTAAATTCCATTAAAAAACTTTTTTTATGTATTTTCAATTATTTTTTTAGATCTTATCAGTACTTGCCCTCGCCGCCTTCACCCAAGCAGGTGTTTTGGACTATGGTCATGCCAGTTCATACTCTTCATCTCATGTAGCAGCTCCAGCTGTATCCCATGGATACCAAGCCCCAGCCTATGCCAAAGAAGCTCATCATGAAGATTACTATGTAAGTATTTAAGAAAAATAGGAGAACAGAACTAGATAGTTCCGAACAAAGACTAAAAACGATTATTTAACCTTTTTTTTTTTTTTAATTTTGGACTTACAAGTTTTATATTTAAATAAAATTAAAAAAATATTTTTCAACAAATTATTACTTTATTATTTTTTAAAGCAACTAATTTTTTCGTTATTTTTCTTAATCCAACTCTAAAACAAATTAAAATCTGCATTTTGTTGACACGAATTTTGAAGTATCTAGACATTTTTTTTACTATTTTTATTTTATTTCGATGAGATCATAATCTGAAAGGAACGTAAACAATTTTTGAGGCAAATAATGCCATTGGCCCAGTCAAGTTTTGGTTTAAAGATAGATTCAACTTTGTATGTGGTTTTTAAAATTAAAAATTTTTTTTCAGGCACACCCCAAATATGAATTCAACTATGGAGTTCAAGATGGCCACACTGGTGATCACAAATCCCAACACGAAACCCGTGATGGTGACGTAGTCAAGGGATACTACACCGTTGCCGAAGCTGATGGTACCCTCAGAACCGTCCACTACACCGCCGATGACCACAACGGTTTCAATGCTGTTGTAGAAAACTCTGGACACCCTACACACCCAGCACCAGCCCATGGCCCCGCTCAGCACGCCGCCCCAGCTTACTACCATCATTAATGTTGACTGATTTTTGTTTAAATTATTTATTTATTTATTGTTGAAAAAATGTGTTGATTAGTAAAATACATTATTACAGAAAAATTATTTATTTACGTGTTCACTAGTAAACAATTTAATAGACACTTTGACTAGGTTGACAACTTCGTACATTCGGGTACCTTTTTAAATAATTGTTTTTAGGAACAGTATCCATGAGTACCTTTTTTATAATCCCCCCTTGATTACTGTCGGAAACTTATGTCCATTTAATGCCCCTTAAACATTAAATCGATTGTCTTCCGCCGTCAACATCCATAAGAAATTAATCATTTTAAAATAAAATTCAGAATGAAATTATGAAATATTTATTAAAAGAAAATATAATTGTATTTGTATGAAATACATTTGACAAAATCGAATCTGCAGGCCCGTAGGCACTTAATAGTATGACTGCAAGTAAATCACATCTTATAGGAAGAGGAATGATACTGATATGATAAATAAAATGTACAGGGTGTCAGATTAAGGGCTGTATATTGAAGTAGATATTTGTGAAAAAAATTAAGTAGCTGTCGATTTTTATTTGAAGGGGAGCACCGAGTGGGACATCTTTCTAGTATATCCTCAACTGTCATATGTAATTTCTCCTTCCTCCGTCAATCTAACCAATACAACTTAAATAAAGGAAAAGTACCAAATATGATAAATCATCGAGTAGGTAATTTTATGGGAAAATTCTGCAATATAACTGTTCATTGCGTTGCTTTAAATGTTGACTCTCTCTAGTGAGATAAAAACTGTTATGTATTGTAAAGTGTGATACCTCATTTGAAAGCTAATTTTAATAGTAATGCTTTGCACTACATAACATTAACCTAAATATATTCATATAACACTTGCAACAAATTTAATAATAGTAATAATGCAATATTTTTCATTTTAAGGGAATTTTTGATTTAGTGAATTGAATAACTAATAAAATTAGCTTTTAAATAAAGTGTAACAGATACAACCGCTAACAGCCCTTAATTAAATTATTCCTTTGATCTGGTAAGTACAAAAAAAGACATTTTTGTACAATTTTATATATTATATGAAAGTACAAAGTTCAAGAAGTCGCCTAACCCCAGAAAAAGCAAAAAGTTAAATTTCGTTGCCTTTTAACTTACCCAAATTTGACATTAAATAGGTATTAAAAAAGGTTTTTCAATTTCTTCTGAGCCTTTATTTTTAGTCCTATATTTATGAAATTTTCAAAAATATTTGCTGCTTTTTGTTTTAATAAATATCTTGTAGTTTTTTTTTATTTGAACATCTCTGTAGAGTGCTGTATTATCTTTGCATAAATTTAAAATTCTCAATATTCTCAAGACACATAATATTACACTACAAATTATTTTTCATTATTTCAAGTTATATTAATTATTTATTAACATTTTTTACAGACGCAGATGGATCAAAAAAATTAATACCTATAAACAATTGGAGAAATCTTTATCAATCAAAATGCTCCTGCTGAATTTATATAGCAGAAATGTACGCAATATAGCAGGTACTTGTATGTACAAGAATAATAAATTGTATTATAATAAACTTAATCTAAAAAAATAAAATTCCCATTATAAAAATTCACTAGTATAGAAAATTAAAAATTGTTTTAAATTAATAGAAAATTCTTGCATTAAAATAACATTTAATTGAGCCAAAGGACATGCTGGCAATCAAGGGAAATGAAATAGGAGATGTTCAAAAATTTTGCTTTTAGTTTAAAATAATATGAAATGGCAATTGAAAAGAATGTGTTGAAGCTTTCAATAATCCATATATTTAAAAAAATAGTGTAAACAAATTTTATTCGACTACAATTACAATAATGAGACTCAATTATGGTTGTTTTTCACCTCACTTAGTTAAAATATGTATCATACCTTTAAGTGTTCAAGTGTTCTTACGATAATAATTTAATAGCAGACTTCAATTTTTTAATTCTCCCTTGCAATAATCATATAAATTATATTAAAAAAATTATCAGAATCATTATTAATAATAAAACTAAGTTTAATAATTTCAATTCAAATAATATTTCTTATTTAATTCCTATAAACTAAACTTCTAAGAATCAAAGTTCACATAGACACCAGTTGATTTAATCTTATTGTGAACAAATAATCAATTTACAAAATAAACGCCCATCAACGTAACCATTATAGTCGCCAGGTTGGCGCCTTGCTTGGTAATCCGTTCCAATTAAAGGGTTATTTAATTTTCTAAACACTTCCTAATTACCCAATCAACACTTGAATGCATGATTACCTATTTAATTCATATTTAACCACCCCCTACCCCAATCTTGATGTCTACATTTTGGAAATATATAGGACTGCCAAAATTAAAAAATCTATTCGTGTGCTATTTTTGCTATTAGTTACTTTAATTCGCTTAAGTTCTAAAAGTATCCAACGATGTCTGTAATATTATCTGATTCAACTCTAGATAAATTAAAATGTACCAACTGTTTTAAATACCTCTCTGTGAAACCTGTGAAGACCTACAAGGATGGTTCCATTAAGTGCGGAAGATGTACCGAAGAAAACGATGAAGGTATTTTGTGCGTATACAACTGTTTTGGAGACAATCACGTGTTTAAGTGCAACAACAGATTCGACGGTTGCAGGAAGTTACTGAACTACGTTCAAGTCATTGAACATGAAAAAGAATGTGTCCCTTTGAAGTACGAGTGTCCGAATTGTCCTGGAGTTATTTTAACAACTTATATGCTTGAAGCGCATTTTCAACAGTACCATTTTCTATCTATTCTGAAGACGCCGGTTTTTTACATTTACACCGACAATGTAAGTCAAACTTTCTTGTATAGACTAGACGATTTTTTCTTTTTTATTCATTACAGAATTGATGTTCTTTCTAATATATTTAATTTAAATGCTTGGTCTTTGTTTAACGCTAAATTCAACACCGTGTTCAAAACTAACTTTAATACAAACGTGGGTAATGAGGATATCGATCCTTTGAAAGTACCAACTTATTATCAGACTAATAATCTTAGTTTGTACGTAAAGGTCTCGGCTACTTTTGATATTATAAATTATCCTTATTATCAAATAATAGTACCCAGTGAAAATACAGTTATACCAAAAGAGTCTGAAGTCTTAGAGGAGCGTAGGATTGTAAATAATTTTGAATATTTTCATAATTTATGTTTGAGATCGGGCATCGACTGGCCCGCTAAAATTAAAACCGACAATTTTCCTTCAAATATGACCGTCAGCGTAGATTTTACTCATTTGATTAAAATTAACAGACTCAAAACGACGAATATTTATTTGCATTGCTACAACTGCTTCGTCAGCTCGTTTCACAAAATATTAGGAGGATTTGTAAGAATAAATCGCAATCTTTATTTTTTGTGCGATATTTGTTTTCGATTAGAGAAACGAAATAACAAATATATAAAATATGGTGGATCCAGTAGAACCTACAGGAAGTTGGATGTAACTTATACATGTTTATGGGGTTGCGGTGTTTCAGATGAAATGTTGTGTGCTCATGAGTATGTTTGTCCTGATCAACCTGAATTTAACTGTCCTATTAGGAATTGCGAAGTGTCTGCACCTCATGATAAATTATTACCGCATATGCTTGAGAAGCATGAAGTATATTCGTGTAACACTTTTATCTGGAACATCGATTTGGGGGAAAATATTCATAAATCAGTTAAATTCATAGAAAAAATCGTTTGGGTCATGCCGTTTTTTGTTGTTGTTAAATTTACCGCTAACTCTAGATATTGGAAGGTATCAGTTGATTTTTGTAATATGCGTGGAGTACCTAAGGATCTACGAGTAAAAGCTTTGTTGTACACTTCGTCGGAAAAATTAATCGACGTTGTTACTGAAAATTATAATGTGTATGTACTACCTTTTGGAGAAATAAAAGTTCATTGTCTACTCGAAAGAGATCATAATATAGGTATTTTCTGATTCTGTATAATTGTATTTAGTGTAATTTGTAATTTAATGTAAATATATAGGTATTTTCTGATTCTGTATAATTGTATTTAGTGTAATTTGTAATTTAATGTAAATATATATGTATTTTTTTCTTGAATTGTATTCTTTTATTTACAAATATAATCCCTAACATTTTTGACACAAAAAAAATTAAATAGAGAAACCAAAACACGATTTTGGTAAAACAAAGAAGTTTTAATTAATGAAGAATGTATAATATCTATATATTGAAATATATTTTACATAACAAACATTTAAAAAAAAAGAATTTTAAACTAGCTAAATTTTTTACTGGGCGTTTTAAAACATTATTTAATTTTATCATTGTATATAAAAAATATAAGAACGATAATAGAATGTAGAAATTATCTTCTTCAAGAAATTTTTATTCTTAACTATCCTTACCAAATTTTAACCTTTCTATCCAAAATAAATAGGATCTTCAGATACAGTATGAATCAAAAAAACTGCTACGTGTTTTTTTTTTTAATTTGATCTGAATATTCCCCATATTATTAGTTTGAAATGGCCTTGGCTTAAACAAAGCAAGAGTTAACTACATTATCTACAGGGAGTGCCAAAAAGTTGGTAGACACTGTATGCTGTTTTTAATAAAAAAAAAAAAAGGTAAAATTGTGAAAAGAGATGAGGTGGGGAAATGGGTGACTCGAGTTATGTGAAGAGAAAGTAGGGAAATAGTAGGTAGTACTTTGTCCGTCTATTGTTTTTTGTCCACACGATAAGACAAACACGAAAAATATTATCAACTTAAAAGTTTCAGGAAAAATCAAGCTCTTTTGTTTTAACAAAAGTTTAATAAAAATGGGAATTAGGGGGGGTTAAAAAATCCTGACTTACTGACAAAAAATTATATCAACTTGTTTTTAGCAAATATCAAGCTCTATAAGGGGACAAAGCCTATTGAGTTTCAAAAAATCTGATGCACGGTTTAAAAAAAGAGTTAAAATTAAAAAAAAAATCATAAATCAAAAACAAAAAGGAATATCAACTTGAAATTTTTAGTAAAAATCAAGCTGTATAAGGAAATTAAGTCTATTAATTCTGAAAAAAATTGAATAAAAATGGGGAGGTTAAGGGTAGTTGAAATATTTAAAAAATCCTAACTTAAAAACGAACAATAATATCAATTTGAAATTTTTGACAAAAATCAAGGTAAATAAGGGGGCAAAGTATATTGATTTTAAAAATATTTTAATAAAATGGGGGTCTAGGGGGTTGAAATTAAAAAATATACAGGGTGGCTCACGCTCAACGGGACGGAGCTTTATGGGAAAACGACCAAAGATATAAAAAATTCGTTTGGCAGGAATACGTAGGTTACAGACGGCTACAATTTAAAATTTGGTAGATGTATACAGGATGTCCCACATAAAAAAAAAATTAGTTCATTAAAAATTATTCAAACAAGAGTAAACAATTAATTTCTGGGAGACTTTTTTTCCTTAAAAATTCAAATAAATCGAAAAATAATAATAATAGTAATAGGGAACCTTTAGTTAACTGACATTATTTTTGATGTAGTTTTTAATTCTAAAATAAAAAACAGGGTGTTCCATTAAAAATAATATAACTTTGTATATTTTCTCTTATGTGGGACATCCTGTATACATCTAACAAATTTTAAATTGTAGCCGTCTGTAACCTACGTATTCCTCCCAAACGAATTTTTTATATCTTTGGTCGTTTTCCCATAAAGCTCCGTCCCGTTGAGCGTGAGCCACCCTGTATAAATCAAAAACCAAAAGCGATATTAACTTAAAATGTTTAGTAAAAATGAAGCTCTATAAGAAAATGAATAAATAAAAATGAATTTTATCCTGCGCCGTTTTGTCATGGAGCCAAATTTGACAGCTCCTAAAAACTATGGTCAAATAAATATTCAAAAATGCAGCAGCAGTTAACTGATAAACAAGAGTCAAGACCTATATCAAAATTGAGAAAAAAGAAAATTTATTTTTTAGTAAAGTGACTGCTGATATAAATATCAGTAGAAATTGTATATTTTACGTTTAAAAACACTGGCAAAAATAACAAAAATTACAAGAACTTTCCAGACAAGGTATAGAGAAGGTATCTAATGAAAAATAAGACAATTTTTTGGTACAAAATATACCATGAAACAAGAACGGCGGATATTATTGAAATTTTACAAAAAGGTTGTAGACACTTTGAAACGAAAAAATGTTTTTTTTCTTAAAATCATTAAAATCTCGAACATAAATGTAAATTAAATCATTTCAATTGATTTCTTGTTGTACAAACGGCTAAATGACTATATTAGACTATTCATATGGCAATTTTGAATCATTAAATATATCAAATTAGATGTTTTATTAAATTAGCTGTAATAATTTTCAAAACCTAGTTAATGTTCAATATCAAATTGTTTTGTAAGGTCATCAAATTCTTCAGTGTATCCCTTACCTCATATCACATGTCCCTTCACTCCTTATCTACAACTGAAACGTATCAACTGTGGAATTAATGTCGCCGTTACGAATATTATATTTTATCAAGTATCTCCTGTTATTTCTGGTCAATTTTTGTGAATGAATTTTTAAAATAAATAATGGCAGTGACAGTTTATAGAAAAAAAAAACACTTTTATATAATTGGGATTAAAAGAAATCAAGGTCAGAAAGTAACTAGCTACTATATTCAACATAGGTAAACTTAAAAACAATCTACTAAATTCAAATTATTAAAAATTCTCACCTCATCAAATTATAATACCATTGGTAAATCGAGCAACAAAATCTGCAACAATCTAAATATAAAACTAGTGAGAAACGTGTAAAATTGTTATCTTTCTCAACATTCTGAACGTTCTCAGAGATGAGTCGTTAGAATTGGAGGAGTCTTAATCATCTACAAAGATACGACACAATTAAGCAACGTGCCTGTGTCTTTAAATTTAATTGCTCTGAAAAAAATTACATAAAAGGCTATTCTATAATCAAATTAGAGTATGTGAATATTGCGTTTGAATAGTGTAAAGTATATAAGATTGTTGATTTTATGGAAATTAGTTAGTTTATTGTTTGTTGGTCGAAAAAGTGGATTGTGTGTGTAGCGCTATGTTGACAAAGGTTGGTTTTAAGAAATTTTCTTAATTTTTTTCAAAAATAGTGCTCTTCCTTATATATAATTAACTTTTTTCATGTAAACAGTTGATTAATAGGTTCAGCTCATTAAAAATTTATTAATTTCCAAAATAATCTGAAACAGTTGCAATTTAAAGATTAATGACTGCATGTAAATTAATTTTACAATCAATAAGAAACTGGTAATATAGCTAGATTTTAATCTTTTAAAAAGTAATTTATCATATATTTTTATTATTACAGGAAGTAAAGAAATTGGTCTGTATATAATATGAAACTTGATTAGATGATTTTCCTGGTTTTAAAATCATCACGACTTCTGTTATTTTCCTATATACCACAGTCTAAATGTTGCATTGATCAGATATGTTTTTTTAATTATTGATTTTTTTGGAAATTGTTTAAAGTCAATAATAGGAGCATTTTTCAGATTAATGTTGTTTCTCATTTCTTTAAAGACTTCCTTTAAAAAAGTTAGACTAATGATAATATTTTTTATAATTGGTGCAATCCAGTCATGATGTCCATCTTCGCCATTTGGCTAAAAAATCATTTCTAAAGCCTCCGCGAACCTACTAACGTTTTGGGTTTTAAAGTATGGGTCTTTTAATTATTTTAAGTAGCTTTCTAAAGTGAATATTATGTTAGGAAACCAGCACTTTTATGGTCTCTTGGAGTTTTCAAAAATATCCAATAATATGTAAAATAAACTACAGTTTTCTTCAACTATTAAATAACTATGTGAAGAAAAAGTGAGACGAATCGTTACAATTAATTATTATTTCTAAAACTGTAGATCAATTAATGAGTCTTTCGCTTCTTTTTTTTATCAATTTTCTTAACGAATCAAGTAAGATGTCAATAAGAAATGAAATCTAGGTCAGTTTTTACCAGAAAATATATACTCGTTCTTTTTTAAAAACGTTCCCTGTATGTATGAACTTCTGAATTGTCTTTTCATAATTAAAAAGACTGCTACAAAAAAAAACTTGGGCCTTTTAACCAAATTTTATCTTTTTTATAATCTTTTCAGTCAAAAATAACATTATTTTCCAATTTTGTCAAAATAGAAAAATATACCTATATTATTATCTACAAATTGATCCATTGATCTTTCGTGAGACATTGTGGATTTACTCATGCAAAACAGACCATACGTATAATAAAATAAATGTTCATTTATAATAAAAAATTTCTTTCAGACTATCTTATTTTCAACCCTACTCTATACGATTAAAGCCGGATATATCAACCACAACTCATACAACAACCACAACCAAGGTTCAGTTTCAACGACGTCCTACGTAACGCACCATACGCCTTCATATAGGAATAACCACGGTTACAATGGTTACAACCATGGTGGTGGAGGGGGAGGACAATCTTACTCAAATTCATATTTTCATAGTTCCGTAGATCATGGTTCTTATGGCAAAGAATCGTCAGGGTACTATGGAGGACATGGCGGAGGTTCAGGGAATTCAGTGGAGTATCATGGGAATAACAATCATGGTGGTTATGATGAGAGTCAGTATTATAATGTAAGCATTTTTTTTTAAATAAAACTATAACAAATTATTTTCACCATAAATAAATATTAAAAAAAATTAAAATTAATTGAAAACACTAAAAAATGTCGTAATTGGCAATGGAAATTAATATTTTTAAAACAGTTATTGAAATGGTAGAATTACGCTCATAACTAGTTAAACATATTGAAATTTGCAGAAAATATAGTCATCATTTCTTACAAATTTAAAGAAATTAATCTCACAATAGAACTTTTAATCCATTTTTCTTTAAATCATTATTGTCTCATGTTAAAATAGTATTCTATATTATACAACAGAAAACAAATACGACCATTTCAATAAATATTAATTTAATTTTATGTTTGTCTATGATGACGTAGAAGTACGATATAATCGATGAAATTAGCAATAATTAAATTTATGATCCACCATCTGTTAATATTATATTTCAGTATTTAATATTAAATACAATCAGTTCGCAATAAATACGAATAAATAATAACAAAACTGTTTAATTCAATTCAATTTCTTATCTATCAACAAATCGATCTGAGACAATGCTGTAATTAATGTAACATTTCTGTTTAAAAAAAAACTGGGTCAAATTGATAAACAACCATTATTTTAATGTGGTCTAATGTATTGTTTTTGCTGTAAAACTACCTACGGTACTCGGTAGATGCGGTTAAATGATATCGTTTATTAAAATTAGTATATTATATAGTTTAGATGTTTTAATGAGATAATTCAGTTCTTGGTTGTTTCAATAAAATGATTTTAAAATCAATATAAAACTAATTTGAAGTAATCATTTAGTAGCGATGACATGATCAAAGAGTATTTTATTGGATCTCTGAGAGTAAAAGAGCGTATGGGATCAAACCAGGTTCAAAAAAGAACTTGACAAAATATTGGCTTCTTAAGTATTAAGCAGATTTATATTAAAAAAGAAAAATATTTTCGTGCTTGCTAAGATTATTATAAGAGTTGAAATTCGTAATTTTTTCTTAATAATATGCTTAACACAATTCTATTACTCAGACTAAATCAATTATAATAATGCGGATAACTCGGGCGCAGAATTTTTGGTAGTCGGTACTGCGTACGCGCTGTCCCGGATAAATAAATAAAAACATAATCAACTTTTAAAATATTATCCCAGTCTTCCAGTGCTCGTATATGATGACACGACTTTGAAGTGAATTTTTGGTATCAGGTTCAAACACTTTTGAAAAATATTCTAAGAAAAACTCGACAGAATATTGGCATCTTAAATACTTCTTCAGTCAGCAGATTCATATTAAAAATTAAACAATATTTTCCTGCATACTTATATAATCAATAATCATAACAGTTGAAATTTGTCAACTTTTCTTAATAATATGTACAACACTAATGTTATTACTAAAGCTAAATCAACTATAAAAGGTCCATTTACATTGTTAACTTAGCCTTATGCTTAATACTATTACTCTATTAATAATTTCACTTACAAATAGGCCAAATGGAAAAATATATGTCGTGGTTTCTGTCGTAACTCGTCATAGAGGTCTCCACAATAATACCTTTTTCAAAGTATACACACAGCATTTCAAACAAATTGGGACATTTTAAATGGTTGACATCGTCACTCTAATCATTGATGTCTCTTTAAAAATATGAATTATTTACATTTAAATAACATTTATTCTGTTATAACAATATTGATAAATTGGTAGTTTCTGTTCTGACTAAGCATCGATATCTCTTTTATTATTCGTCTCTGACCGCTCAAATAAGAATTCTTAAAACATTTTTAACTATTATTTGTGAAGATATATTCATTATACTTCATGATATAGATGGAAAAGCTTTGGCAACTTTAATTATTAAATAGGAAGTAAAGGTGTAATCTTTGTATCCATAGAAAAAAAAATTAGCTGAAGCCCTCACTTTAGAAGGAGTAGCTGGCGAAATAAGTATCTGTCCAGCCTGCAACAATGCATTTGGTTATTCCCGAGGGTATTCGAGGTTTCAAAGACTTCCGAAATATCGCTCAGAACAGACGTTTGAATATCTAGTTAATAATTGTTATAAATTGATTACTCACATTACTTACATTTGATATATATCTAGAGCAAACATTTTTAGACAAGAATCGCTTTTTCTTTTTACACACCGATAAGAAATCCAATTTATTCGTTTACTATCGTTTAATCTGTCTAGATGGCGCCAACATTTTCGATAGCTACTAAACATCTAATACGCAACCGTAGGTATGAAAACCCCGAGTTAGGGACTCTAAATTCATACTTACCTGGCGTAGGGGTCAACCGTGATCAATAAGGCGGTTCCCCCGGGACGAGGCCTTTCCATTGCACTACGGCTGGGCTGAAACCTGCGATTATCCCTAATGCGGATAACTCGGGCGCAGAATTTTTGGTAGTCGGGACTGCGTACGCGCTGTCCCGGATAAATAAATAAAAACATAATCAACTTTTAAAATATTATACCAGTCTCTCAGTGCTGGTATATAATGACACGACTTTTAAGTGATTTTTTGGTATCAGGTTTAAACATTTTTGAAAAATAATCTAAGAGGAACTCGACAGAATATTGGCCTTTTAAGTACTTCTGCAGTCAGCACATTCATATTAAAAAAGAAACATAATATTTTCGTGCATGCTTAAATAATCAATAATAATAGTAAGATTATTGATAAGAGTTGAAATTTGTCAACTTTTCTCAATAATATGTTTAACACTAATTTTATTACTAAAATTAAGTCAATTATAAAAGGCCACTTTACATTGTTAACTTAGCCTTATGCTTAATACTATTACTAATAATCTATTAATAATATCAGTACAAAATGTATGTCGTGGTTTCCGTCTTAACTCATCATAGAGATCTCCACAATAATACCTTTTTCAAAGTATACATACAAGATTTAAAAAAAATTGGAACATTTTAAATGGTTGATATCGTCACTCTAATCATTTATGACTCTTTAAAAATATGAATTATTTAAATTTAAACAACATTTACTCTTTTATTACAATAATTTATAAATTGGTAGTTTCTGTTCTAACTAAGCATTGATATCTCTTTTAATATTCGCCCCTCACCGCCCAAATCAGATGCTTAAAACATTTTTAATTATTTGTGAAGATATTTTCGTGTTGTAGGTGGGAAAGCTCTGGAAAGTTCAATTCTTAAATAGGTGTAATCTTTGTCTCCATAGAAATTTAAAAAAGGCAAATTTTTTGAACGATTTGGAGGCTGAAGGTAAAACCATAATGTTATATCAATAAGAAATGCTTTGAAAAAGACCTTTAATTCCATCAATGATCTAAATAATGTCTTAAAAAACAATAGAAATACATTGATATATTTAGATATATATTCAGGGATTTAACCTTAAAACTCTCACGAATAATCTATTAACTAAAATAAATTCTACAACAATCAACAGTGAACAAAATTATTTATATAAAAGATAAGTATCTATTGTATTGCCTAATTATTAATAGACTACAGTTTATTAAACCTTGAGGTGCTAACATATTCAAGGAACGAACGATCTATCGTATTATTAAGAATTATTAGGTGGATTATAAATGATCCAAACATAATAGTCTGTGGGTCAGAAAAGACTGCATACTTTGTGCAGGTATGTCTTTAATTCTAATACATAAATACAAATAAGAAATGAAATTGAAAAAAAAATATACTTACTTTTTAATTTGAACATTTTTTTGTTTGCATTACACAAATCTATTCCAACGTAAAATCAGATATATATGTCTTATCAAATTTTATTTATCCCCCAGAATATTATTTTTCAAATTCGTTTAGGTATTTAAAAAAGTTACATTTTACTCTATACATTTTTAATTATTGCGCATTCAAATATATTACATATATTTATTTTAAAGTAGATTTTACATTTTTGGACAAATCTGCAGCTGGCATAAAATTTTAAAAATTTAATTAAGTTAAGTAAAAAAATGTGTGTTTATATTTTTCAAAACTGTTTTCTAAATTTAATTTCAAATAACTAAGGATAAAAACTAGGTACTTAATTTTGTTTACAAAAATCAAATTGCAAATATTTACGATGTTATCCACATAGTTGTCAAATTATTATCGGTATTGCCTAAACTTAACCATCTTCTTGAACTCGGGATTAGTCGCGAATCTTCTAGTAACTAGCCATTTCTTTTGCATATAGTAGATATCGAAGATTGCAAAATATTCCTGATTTTTCAAGTATTTTTAAAACGTAAATATATTTTCAAAAATTAATTCGACAAATCTGTTTATTTCCTAAATAAAACATTACCCTGTACAGTTCAAGAAGTCGACAACTAACTACAACCCACCAAAAATTCAAGAAATTTATTTTAATTTAAATTTCTATTTTTTATTTATATTTTTCTGTTTTTAGGATCCTCCAAAATACGAATTCAAATACGGAATTGAAGATCCCCATACAGGTGATGCAAAAAATCACTACGAAATACGAGATGGAGAAGTAGTTAAAGGACAATACTCACTTGTCGATGCAGATGGCAGTTTAAGGACAGTAGAATATACTTCAGATCCTCATCACGGATTTAGGGCTGTCGTCCATAAATCTGGACAAGAATCTGTAGCTTACGGACATTAAAAACTGTTACAATGTGATTAATTTAAGTGAATCCTTTTGTTTTCTTTTAATTTCTTATTTTTTAAGACCTGTACAAACTTGATATATAACATGTCTGGTACATGAGAACATTATTAAAGAAATTGTAGTGAAACTAACTAGCTTTGAAAGATTTACAGTTACAAAGAAAACGTGCTTATCAATCTCTTTCTGTGCCAATCAACAAAAATACATAATCTACAATAAATGCATTAAAAAATTAATATAACCGGTTAGTTTAAGGGACCCTTGTAAACTTAAAAGAGATAATTATACTTCCAGTCAAACATAATAATAAACTTAATAAAAAAGTAGTAGCAATAATATATTTTTCAATGTTAAATTATAACACCTTTTATATCAGTAGTAACATTTTTTTGACCCTCTGTAATTAAGCATAATAATTATATATTTTTGTGTTGTGAAAGTATAGTTTAAATATTTAAAATTATTTATATAACTTGTCAAATCATATAAGTTAAAAGTTAAACTTAATTTAAAGCGATTACAATGAAATTGTTGAAGTAGTATCATCCTCTTTATCAACCCTTGTTTTAGAAACATACTGTCGTGCATCCAGTCCAACCCTGTTCTTCAACAAAGAACAGGGTCGAACAGTCACAAGACAATACCATCCCCTATTTTCAAGCAATTTGTTACACTATTTTGCTAATATTGATTATTATATAAAGCACTACTTTATTTCTGCCTAACAATTTTTTTCTTTGCAATATTTTCTTTTTTTTTAAACGATTTCTTAATTAACATTAATGTTTTACTATAGAAAAAAAAACGAGTTTTAAATACGGTGTATTAGGTTTTACAGCAAGAAAGTTTACATATAGTTTTCTCATATTTTATTGTTTATTAGTATACACAATAACTATAATGTTATATTTTGTATTTATGTGACATATGTAAATATACTAATAAATATTTTTTTTGTTTTATAACTATTTTTTATATTAACTAAATAAATATAAAATATTTTTACTGGTTTTGATTGTTTTGATACCACAGTCGAAAGTGTTAAAGCTGAGAATTTTTTATCTTTTTAGAAATACACCAACTGCAATAGGTAAAAAATTAATATATTTTGTTTTGTCAATATTTAGAGTCAATAAACTTTAATGTAGATACATTTTTATTTCTATTAAGCATAGCATACAAGTTTTATTTTAAAATAGTTTATGATGAATATGATGTTTATATAAATCAGAAAAAGAACTGAACCCAATAATATCCTCTGGGATACTATTATTTATACTATTGAATCGGCATTTAATTTATTCCCTATTTTTACTCCTTGTGTTCTATTTGACCCCAATATGACCCCTAGGTCGAGGAATGGTGAGACAAAACAGAACCGTTGATATTACAATGGAATTGTGTAGGATTTTTTTTGGTAAATGTCACTACTTTACACTTAGAGATGTTAAGAAACGTACACACTATTCAGATATTCTTTTAGAATTAAACTCCAGTGCAATACAGTCATTTCTATCAGATATTTAAAGGTAGTTTTTCAAATCATCTGCGCAAATAAGCTTATCTGAATTCAAGTAGCCATCCAGGTCATTGATAAATAGTAGTAATAGTAGTAGTAGTAGTAGTAGTAGTAGTAGTAGTTGTCGAAGATTTAAGCCTTGAGGCATGCCTGATTTTGAAAAATATTTATGTGATAATTGGCCATTGTAGAAAACAAATTACTATTTCCAAGGTAGAACTGGAAGAACTTTAGCAGAACACTAGAGAAACCAAACTAATTTAAATCTTTAAATAGAATTCCATGATCCATGTTGTCAAAGACTTTTGAAATAGCAATTAATTGTTGGGTTATTGTAAGGAAATTAATCTCTGTTGATTTCTTGCTCAGAAATATATATTGTGAAGGTGGTATTAGGTTAGGAATAGATGGACAGAAACTATTGTAGAGATACTTAAATTTTTTTTTTTGAAAAATTTGACAAAATGGATATGGGACTATAATTGTTAATTAGAGACTTTCCATTTTTAAGATTAATGACTCTAATATACTCTAACATCACATATTTATTTATAAAAACAATTTTGAAATTTTTTAAATAATAATACAACTAAATAAATTTATATTATTACTTTCTGTAAATACCCACTTTATTCCTAAAAATAACCAAGCCATAAATATTAGTAGGCCAATAATTATTACCTACGAATTCCAATTAATTAATTAATCAATCGTAGTATGTAATTAGATAATACTAGCTCGAGTATTAATTAACTAATTGATCCATCTAATTTTTAAACTCGACATATTCAGATCGTATATCTATTTAGAAGTTATTTGTATATAATTCGATTATGTAAGTATGACATATTAGTAGGAAATAAACATATATTTTGATGGGTGTAGGCCCTCTTCATCGTCGGAGAAATTTGGCTATAAATATTCATTAATGTCTCTTTTAAATCAGTCTGAGTTGATCCTTTAGAGAGGAATTTTAATAAAACAACATGTTTTCCAAGGTAAATTATTAAAAAAAAATATTTTTTTAAAGTATAAAGTGAATTTTAACGAAAAATATTTAGTGCCAATTTTATAATACATTTAAAAGAGATTTTAATTATTAAAGGACGCTTTACCTGTAAACGAATATAAACTAAAGCATTCTATAAATATTATAAAAATTTTTGTTAATAAATTGGCTCTAAATATCATTTTAAAAATTACGTTAGAGGGATTAAAAAAAGTATTTAAATTTTTCACTAAAATAACCAAAAATATTTTCTTACATACATTTTTTGAATTTCCAGTTTTCAATAACATTTATTAACAAATCAAGGTAGAAATATTTGCAAAATTATGATTGCTTTGTTTTCTAAAATTAAAAATTTGGATATCTGGTATTCAGTTTTATGAATAAACATCTATGGTTAAAAATCAGCATTATAAAGAGAATGCGAGGTTTTTAGTTAATTATTTGTAATATTTTTTATTATTATTTCAGGTGTTAGCAGTTGCCCTCCTAACAACTTATACCCTCGCAGCCGAAGATATACCAACCTCATTCACCACTTTCAACAACTACCATAACACAATTCAGCACATCCAATCTCGTCATGACACTATAAGTAAAGCCGTTCCTGTTCAATTCTCATCTCACCAACAACCCGTACCTTACCACCACAACCCTCAATCCAAATCGCAGTACTCTGGATACGCAGACTCCTCTGAAGGGTTATCAGCACATGCTTCTGTCCACTCAGCTCCTTCAATACGCTATACGACTTCACCAATTTCTACTCAAGGAAAGCAACAGTATGGTGCACCTGAAGCATCTCATTCCGTACAGTACTCAGCACCTGTAAGTTCCCATGGTGTCAAATACGCTGCACCAGCACATTTTGGACAATACTCTGCACCTGCATCTCATGGATTACAATATTCTGGGCCTGCATCTCATGGTATACAGTATTCTGTACCCGCATCTCATGGTATGCAGTATTCTGCAGCCCCATCTCATGGTTTACAGTACTCAGCACCTGCTTCTAGTCATTACGCTGCACCTGCAGCTTCGCACGATGCTCAGTATTCATCTGGCGGACATGGAGGTCATTATTCTAGTCATGATGAGGAAAACGTAAGTAGCAGTTATTGAGTTTAGAACCTTTTTCTATTTTGTTGGTCCCGTTCCTATACTAGATCTTCTTTCCAAAAAAAATTTAGTTTTCTTTGACACCATACTTCAATCAAAGAAAAATTTTATTTTTTATATAACACTTACATAACAAATATCATTCTTAAGAAAGCTTTTCATTCTAAATATAATTTTTCGCCATAAATATCATTCTTAAGAATTCAACACAAAGAAATTTTATATTTTCCTACTACAATTTTGCAGACACCTGGTATACATATATTGCGTCAAAGGATTCATTTTAATTTAAAAAGAGAGTTATAACTTATTTAATAGTGAAATTAAAAAAATATAAATATTCTTTAACACCATAGAATAATAAATTTAAATTTAATACCTTAATGCCTATCTATACACATTAATATTATTGCTCAATTTAATTAAGGTGTGAAATAGATAACCAATAAATTTTGGTTTTTAAATATTGGTGAAAGTAAAGAGAATAGTTGAAATATTTTGATTATAATTAATTTATAAGTGGTCAATAAAAATATGTAGATCTCTTCGATTCTAAAATTGCCAAAAATACTACTGGCTTTCCGCTCTAAACCATTATTTTTAAAATAATGTTAAATGTTATAAACGACGAAATCTCAAAGACTTCGTAGTCCACATCTAGTCATATTTGAGTTTAACATATGTTTCTTTATTTTATAAAATAATTTTCTGGGTCAATTATAAACATTATAAATTTGCAATGTGGGCTAGAGTTGATAAACATTAAAATATTTTACTAAAAACAATTATTTTCATACAGACCCATCCAAAATACGAATTTTCGTATGGAGTAGAAGATCACCATACAGGAGACATCCATTCCCACAAAGAAACTCGTGATGGAGACCAGACCCAAGGAGAGTACTCTCTCCATGAACCTGATGGTACCATCAGAACTGTTAAATACAGCGTTGACAAACACAGCGGTTTCAATGCTGTAGTGGAAAAATCTGGCCATAATTCGCAGCCCCAACATCAACAAGGTCATCAAGGAAAGAAATCTTATTACTACTGATCTATACTTATAATCGTTAAACTTCTGTTATTTTAAAATTGCTGTGTTTTAGTTTTTATAAGTATTAATAAAATGTGCCAAAGTTATTTTTTGTTATTGTATCTATTAAAAAACCTTTAACAGGTATTTGAACAATATTTATGTTCCATGAAGCAGATAATAAATTATACAAATGTATACTTCGAGTTCACTAAAGGTTGATCTCAAGAAGTGAGTAAGACATTAACATGTTGTGAAACAGAATAATAATAGATACAGTATGTCCGAACAAGTTAGTGGTGTACAGAAAAAAATTAAAAATATTGATTTATATTGGAGAATAAAGTTTTTTTTTTTAAATTCAAATACAGATCGAAATATAGTTTAAAAATTTACATCCCAGGCCTTTTATTGGTAAATTTACATTTAAAAATCATGCATAAATACAAACAAAATAAAAATCTTGCTGTCAAATTTTTAGAAGTAAAAAAAAAGATAACCATATTTGAAATAAAAAATATTACCAAAAAAGTTATGTTCTAAAGGTAAAGCATCAAATTATAAAATTTTGTGATAAATAATATTAAACTAAACAATACAAAATTTTAAATAATATTTGTATTACCTAAATAATATTTGTAGAATCATTGATTAAATTATATAAAGTAATATATATTTTCTAAAAACAAATAAAATACTTGTTTAATCATGGGAAATAAAACAAATATTCTGAAACAGTAAAAAAAACATTCAAAGAAAATACATTTTAAAACACATTATTTTGATTCCTATTACAAGGACTGCAACTTTAATTTTTAATCTACTTCCTATATCTATTAATATTTAAAAAGTTTTAACTTTGTGTAATGAAAATAGGTACCTACTTCAGTTCCATCAAGATTAAAAGGCTTGATTAATATCATGAAATTTAGCAAATTCAGAATTATTATTATCAAAATGAATAAAAGAATTAAAATCCAAGAACTGTTTCCCGAGGGGCCTAATAGCTTTGGTATAACTAAAAATTCCGCTGATATCAACAATTTGTTTTCTATTTTCTGAATAGTTATTAAATATTTTGTATGACACTTCTCTAAATTAGTAATTTTCTATAGTTTCAAACAGTTTTTGATATATAACTATATCAAATACTTTTTCAAGATCGACAGAACTGCACGAGGAAGTTCGTTTTTCATACACTGAATTATTATTAAATTTTGTCAATGTGTCAAGAGCTTTCGAAATGTAGATCTGTTTTCGAAATTCATATTGTCTATCTAAAGGGATTGCATATTTATTTAAAAACGCTTGATATAATGAAATATTTATTTAATATTTATTTAAGAGTATCTGGAAATATATCAACATCAATAGATCGATTTACATAGGAATAGTAAAAATAATAGTAAAATACCCAACTAATTATTTATTTATTTATTGTAATCAAATCAGCAAATTGCCGAATTTTAGTAATCTAATATATTCAACAACCTTCCCAATTATGTATTATTCACTTTTATTAGTACGAAATTATACCGCCTTCTATTTTACACCCAATTATTTATTCTCGTTCTCTAACCTCTTTCGAGAATGATAACATTAACATTCCAATACAACTAGAACAGCCTCTTAACAATCCAATCTGATATACAGTCCACGCTTTTTATCGCTAATAAAACAAAACAAGCACACCTCCACCGGACACACCCTGTATGTTATGTAATCGTCTCGAAGTTAGTAGGTCTCGGCACCGGTGGAGAGATATAGCAGGTGTTGTCTATAAGTAGAGCGTTGTATTTTTATTATATATTTAAATGACTTATTTGCTATTAAAACCTCTCATTTGCTGATGCTACGGTAATTATTTGCTGTAGTAACAGAAATTTGTCAAAAGCAATATTGAGGAAGATCTAAAAGAGGTAAAAAAATAGTTTTACAAATAAATATTTAGAAAACCAATGTCCGTATTGTTCAAATGGAAGTACTCTTCCTTAAATACAGGGTACACATTACTTATTCATACAGGTGTTACTTCCATGGCTTCTTGAGTTCCACATCTATGCCCTGGTACAAAAAAAAGTAGAATTTTTAAATAGATACATAATTACAGTTTTAGATATACATGCTCCAAAAATATAAGAAACTAGAAAACTAATTAAATATTCTCCCTGGATTATTGAAAATATTATTTATATGCAAACTTAGAGATAAAGCCTTGCAAAAATTTCGCATAACAAAACTTATTTCAAACTTGTAATATTAAGGAAAAATGGTCAGAATTAAAAAAACTCAATATATCTAGACAAAAACAAATTCACATACCTCCATAACTAAAAAATGTTAATGCCATTAACAAATTTTTTACTTCAAACATTAATAACTCTACTACACAAATAGATTTACAACATTTTTACCTTAACAGTTTTAAAGAAAAAAGATTTTTATTTTAATGATTTCTCGGAAGATATTATCAATAATATCTACAACATCAAATCTAAAGCTTATGGAATGGATTATATTAATATTACCATTTTACACTTTTGTTGTCATTACACACATTATTAATGAATGCTTAAAATATAGTTATTTTCCTGAATCATGGAAATTAGTTGGAGTTTTGCCCTGAAGAATACAGTGATTTAAGATTAATTAGTATTTTGCCTGTTTTCTCCAAAATATTAGAAACTGTAAATTAAAATAAAACGGTTTTTGAAAAACAACAATATATACCTAGTAAACAATCAGGTTTTAGGTCAGACTATAGCTGTGCTCAAATTTTGTCTTCGCGCGATATGGCCATCATATCCACTCTTGTTGCACAAACTACTATTAAATTATGGATACTGAATATTTTTTCAATAGGAGGACTACAAAGTAAAGTTGAATGTGTTGTTAAAAATTAGTTAAAAAATATTCCAACAAATGTAATGTAATAATAAAAAATCGGAATGCCATTTTCAAAATGTTCTGACCAGATTTTATATAAAAATTTCCAGTATCGACCCAGCTAGATTTCTAGAAAAAAAATATGTTCGGTTGTCATGATAACGATTCAACATTATTTAACACTTTATTACATCAATCAATTCCAGCACAAGCCAATCATAACAAACTGTATATGAAAACTTGGATGCTGCGGTGTTTTCACTCAATTCCAAATTGATTAAAAAAATTTAAGTCATTACTAGAATAATATATCAATGATTTATGCAAAACGTCAATGTGAAGTTTGTCAAAAAGTTTGAATTTCAAAAATTAAATTAATTGCCAGAGTATAGGAACCGTGCGTCATGACTTTAACGCTAACTGGTGACAAAAATGTGAACTTTTTGGGGGGTATTTATTAATGTTTTATACGGCATTTATTGTTTAATAATTATTAATAAAATGAAGTCGAATTATTTTCGTAATATCAATATCGAAAAAACTTGTTGCATCCGTGGATGTACAAACACATCACTTTAGAAACCTAGATTTCATTCGATAGTAAAGAAATTTTATAAATTTCCACAGAGCACAATTATGCCTCACACCCAATGATATACATAATTACAAGATTGCTTATCCATATGTAAATCAGACGACGAAAAGCGTATTTCACTGGACAAAGTTTTCTTTTTATCTAGCTTGTATCAATTTTGAGCACTTAGTTGTAAAGAAATCATTTACAGAAAAATTAGAATCTTTAGTGTTTTCTTGTCATTAAGATTTTTACATATTTAAATGACCATTTTATATAAATATAAGTTTACAGATAATGGTTTATTCTGTTGATTAAAACTAATGTAGAATGTTATGAAATAAGAATATCCAATTTGACAAAAATATCACGGCCCTCTTTACAATTTATTAACTATTTCTCATTTATTATTAAAATAAACAAATCATAAATAATACATTGCAATTACTGTCAAAAGAGATTGTAACAAACTTTAAAATATTAAAAATCCAGTGATTTTTTGTAAATTTTTTTAGTGACATTACCATTAAACATTATTCAGAATAATAGATAAGTGTCCAATTACAACTCTTACCAAAGTTGTTCATACCTCATATCAAAATTGTTTACATTACCTTTTCAAAATTGTATTACATATTGCAATTATGTATTTTATGTAGAATTGTTTCTGAAATAGTAGTCTAAAATTATTTATATCCATCTGTTATAAAAATTGTTTAGATCTCTTAATATTATTTAACTACATGAAAACTCAACTTTCCAAATACATAATGACATGTCTTGAAGTAAAACTTTAATTATTATCTTTTTCTAAAGATTAAAATGCTGAAATTTTATTTTAACACATTTGGGCTAGAACGGCTCTATTTAGTGAGCACTAGGAAAGGCACATTGCAACCAGCTTTTCATAATTTTTTTATAGTTGGGTAAGCAATCTATAATATATGTATCATTGAACATCTCCTAAACGCCAGTGGATGAATGACATTTCGATTAACATAAAGCTAAAAAGATTTATAATTATTATTATCAATCTTTTTTATTAATTTACATTTTTTAAATGTTATTGTAATACTTTTAAATTCAGTGTTACTAAATACCTATATTTTAACATTGGATACACTTGTTTAAGGTACAACTTTACAATTTATTGTCACTTAGCCATTTAAATCTTTTTGCTTAAAATGTATATGCTTGTCCAGATTTTAATAATGTTTCACATTTTACGTCATTTTGACCATGTACACGATTGTTTGGTACGGGCCGGTATCTATTTTTAACTATATTTAATATTTAAAAAAATACCCTTCATTATTTACTTGCAATGTTTACCCCATTTAATTCTAAAATTAAACACTAGAGAGGGCTAAGTTCGGCAGTAGTGCTGCCTCTATATTTCACGCACGGTCCCTATCGTATAAATAATTTATGCAAAACGTCAATATGAAGTTTCTCAAAAAATTGTCGAAAAAAATGGATATAAATTGTTTTGGTTGTTAAAACATACTTTTAAAATGCAGTATCTACTATATCTTACGAAAACAAAGCAAATGATATTCATAGTTTTTTTCTTATTGTTAAATAATCTTTCCAAACAACGCGAGGTGAGTATTTTTTTTGTTTCTTTACAAATTATGCAAATTTCCAAAGGAACAACAAAATGTTTTAAAAAATTCTCACCTCTTGTGGTATTATCTTTAAAAATTTTACTATCAATAAATATATTTTCGTTAAACGACTTATCTACGTATCCAACTATAATGCTTTAGTTATTGTATAACACCGATCACAAAGAGTTGTTTAAAAGTAAACAATAGTCTGTCGTATTTCTTATTTATATCTGCAAGAGGTGAATAGAATAGAAACGACCTTCTGATTTGATCGCTTGTGGGAAGGACGACTAGCAGAAATATGATAAATGAACGAAGACGATCCTGTTGTTTCAAAGCAGGTTTTACTTCCACATGCAGATTTTTTTGAAAATGGTCATTGTCAAGTTCGATCACTATAAGCAGGTTTAGTATTTCTGATTTGTTTTGTAAATGTCATGTGTCAATAATACTGAATATATTTTTAAAATAAAATGAAGGTGTTTTTATTTAAAAGTTATTGCCCTGGACTCAAGCGAATTTAGAAAAATCGTTGTATTGTTAGTCAAGAAAAATTCGGAACAGATATTTTGTTCAGTAGATCAGACACTTTTTATAACAGAAAAAAAATAAAGAATTGCCATTTTTATGGTGATTATTTACATTTACATAATCGTGTTTTTAAAACTATAAAAATAATGGACTTGAATATTTTAAAACATGGAAAAAATATTTAATAATTAAAAAGTATGAAGAAAATAATAAAATTTTCTATCGCCATCGTACGCAATATAAATTGAACCATTACATCTCAACTTCAATCAATTTTAATCGGATAAATCCATTATGTACATTATAAATCGCTATTGGGCATCAAAATTATTAATTATTATATAATTTAATCGCATTTAAAACTTTTTGTGGACTAATATGATCTGGTTAATTTCAATACACTTGCAGGTATGTACTCGTTACTCACTGGCTACCAAAAAACATATTGCTCAACAATATAACATTGCTCCAAATCTATCAAATTTCAATTAGGGTCACACTTTTCGGTGATAATGATAAATTACATAAGTACGGCTGGTATGGGACAACACCCATGTGGTTGTCTTGCCGATGGGGTCCAATTTTTCATTACCACTATTAGTGAACGTTTATGCGGTTGGTATAAATATGAATTTCGTCGTTTTTTTAATCAGTATTAATCTCGTATTAGTCTCATAATATAGTAATTAAAAATGGTGTGCAAGGTAAGAAAATATATTCATTGAATAATAATAAAAAACGATTTGAAGGATCAACTATAAGGAAAATATCGCATACAAACGAAAAGAAATAATTAATCTTGGATACAAGAAACAAAATTTTCATTTTTTAAAAAATGTTCATTGTTAACTTTTAGGTTCATCTAATTCATTCAATCAGTCTCATACAAATATTTTTTTATACTTGAAAATAAATAAAAAACCAGGTGCCATGCCTGGAAAATTCAGATGGGTGGGAAATAATTAAAAAATTTTTTCCGTTGGTTCATTATTCATTAATAAATTCACTTCAAATGTCATTATAGAAGGATTAAACAACTAGTAGACGTTGTAGAACATGTATGATAAATATAGAGAAAGAGAAAGAATATACAGATAGATAATTTGAATAGCTCTAGCAATATCATCACAGTCAACATCTCATTATTTCGCCTTAAGTCTATTTATATATATCCACTAATTTATCCTCTTCATCTCTATTGCAATTCTGCCAGATTTTTCTTGGTCTATCCCTTTTACTTCTTCCTACAATATGCCATTCTACCCATTTTTGTTTTGTTTTCTAAATATCTCTGAATCCTAAGATAATCAATCTACAGATACATGTGTAAGTTTTCAAAAATGGTATTTTTAACATGGTAGCATATTTTTAAAATCTATTTTATTTGTTTAGAATAACTGAAAATTCCTCACAGATAATATTTATAAATTCTTTGACCTCTGAAGTTTAAGGATATTCAAAATAATTAATATTCCTATTAATTATAGAAAACTATTTATCAATTATTATCCTTAGACACTTGATATTGTTCAATATTGTTATGTTTTTATAATCATACTTCACTTTATGGCCTTGTATTTTAAGTTGTTACCAGCTCCTGCCAATTTAGCTTAAAAATAAACAAATTATGCGATATTAAGTTACACATATTTAATTTTCAAATCAAATAATCAACCTATTAAATAAATAAATATAATAATTCTTAGCTAAAAAGAAGGAGAGAAAGAAAAACAGGACCTGTAATCTTTATTGTCGCCCCAATTTTACTATTTTAAATTTGCATTTGCCTTGTAGAGCGGGCGGATATAATGACTTTGCCCGGGAATCTACCATCGGGGTGGTAGAAGCCCACCAAATAGCCACTTCTCAAAACCAAGGCATCTAAAGACACTTCTGGGAGACGTAACTAACCTGCAAGACTTTAACCTGAAAGGGTTGGCTATCACTAGACACCCCCCAGGGACATCCAGCAGGTTTTTTTATAAGTTACTGACCTGCTGAACTGTGACAAGCTGAAAAGATGGCTGCTGTAGACCAGCAGGTTTTTAACGAATTGACAACCAGCAGTTAAGAGGCAGGTTCTATATGACTCTGGAGGATGCACAATTGCCCTTAGGAAGCCTCAGTGCTGTAGAGTAACTCTCTTTCGTACTTTGCAAATAAAGACAGATGTGTACTGCATTTCTCACAATTCAACAAATTTAAAAATGTTTATTTTACTTTTCTAACTCAGCATCTTAGTTCTGACAACTTTTTTATGGATTTGAAATTAATGTTTATCTAGTAAAAATAATTTTTCTTTGGAAAATACCCAAATAAAATAATAAAATATCTAAGAAGTTGTTTTCAACCTTGGGGTATTTGTTTTCGAATTTTAAAATTATTCAATAACATAAGTAGTCCGACCTATTTGTTGGTTTTTATGTTGATAATAAAAATAATAAAATATCACAATTTAATTTATATTTTATTTATTTTCTTTTTTTTTAGATCCTTTCCCTAGCCCTCTTCGTAGCTTGTACTCAAGCTATCCGTTACGACGGCCACGAAGCTACTTCACACATCGTATTCAACGACAACCACAACACTGTACACCACATCCAATCCGCCTATGCAGCTCCCGCCCACGGATATGCCTCTCCAGCCGTCCACTACTCCCATGCCGCTCCAGCTGCACACTACAACGCTCCATCTGTTCAGTACGCCGCTCCAACTGCTCACTACGCAGCGCCAGCATACAAAGTCAAAGTAGCCGCTCCAGTACTTGTAAAGAGCGCAGCTCCAGCCCATGGACACGCCAGCTCTTACTCCAGCTTGAGCTTCGGACAAGACTCTCACTACGCCGCGCCTGCTCAATATGCCGCTCCAGCTCACTATGCTGCCCCAGCTCAATATGCTGCTTCAGCTCATTATGCTGCTCCAGCTCATTATGCTGCTCCAGCCCCAGTCGCTAAATATGCTGTAGCTGCTCCAGCTTACCACGGTAGCTCTTATTCTACTTACGCTGCTCCCGCTATCCACGCTGCTCCAGCTGTAACCAAATTTGTAGCTCCAGTTGCTAAAGTTATTGCCGCTCCAGCTTACCACCATGCTCCTTCTTACCATCACGAAGAAGAATATGTAAGTACAATTATTTTTGTAAGAATAAGATGTTTTGTTACATTGTTTCTACTTCAAATTATGTATATATTTTCTTTAAAACCTTGTAAATTACCATTTTCCAATTTTCTTCATTATTAACGCCTTCTTTCTGATTTTATCCAAACCATCATGGTTTACACAATTCTCAGTTACTATTTCTTCCTTCCATCTTTATTCAGTATTCAATATTATCCTGCAAGATTCTGTTTTTTGTTTTCTATTTCAATATCAACTTTGTACTTTTTGTCACTTTCATAAAATACTATTGTTCTTAATACTGTATTTATCCATTGTTCTATTTCCTACTGAGACCGTATCATCAGCATCTAAATATGGATTACTTTTATAACTCAGTATTTCTGATATATTAACTGCCTCATTCCTTGTAATTTTCGTTACGTCACATTGACTTTGTACCACAATCTTCGTCCTATCAGTATCCGATGCAGCTAAGTGTATATTCTTTTATTATTAAACCTGAACGTGCAGCTAGCTCCAATTTGGTTTGTTTTCTTTACAGGCACCAGCCAAATACGACTTTGCCTACGGTGTAGAAGACCACCAAACTGGTGACATCCACTCCCACAAAGAATCCCGCGAAGGAGACGTTACCCACGGTGAATACTCCCTCCACGAAGCCGATGGAACCATCAGAACTGTTAAATACAGCGTAGACAAACACAGCGGATTCAACGCAGTAGTTGAAAGATCCGGCCATGCCGGTCATGCCAGTCACGCTCAACCCATCAAAGTACTTAAAGCTGTCGCTGCTCCAGCTCAATACTACCATCATTAGAGTCTGATTCGATCAATTGTTAATACTTATTGTTGTAAGTTATGTTAATGTGTTGTATATTATTTATTTATTAATATAATTTTTTGCAATAACTTTTATCTTACTTTTGAAACTATCCTCAAACTATGGCACCTAGAAATATAATAAACTACCGTTGTCTAATGCTGCAGAACGATACAAGTAAATGGAATCAAAATGTATAATTTTTACAGTTATGTGAGTACTAGATAGTATTTCTCATAAAAAATTTTAAAAACGATAATTACAATTGTGCAACTTTAAAGTCTCTAATATTGGTTTAGTAGTAGCAATACGCAAAATGTAGTTACACCACTTTGTACCTAACTTAAGTTCCTTGGTTTGAAAAACTGGTACATTCTCTTAACCGTTTTCTATATATAAAAATTCGTTCATGATTTACTTCTTCTTTTCTATCTAAGCTACGACGATTACAATATAATAGTTTCCTATTTCGAATTTGTTTATTGGTACTTCTACTAAATTCTGTTTCATCTTTTTTTAATCTATTCTCGTTATCTAATTCTGTTTCTTCTCTTTCAATTTCATCAAAGACACTGATCAATTAGGTTTCAGCCTCTGACGACCCTAACCACGTCATATGTCTTCTCTGTTCTATGCCTTTTAGTCTCATATTGGTATTTTCACTGTCAAAGTTTAGTTCCCCTATGTTTAATGGACCCAATGACTAATATCCTCTATCCGTTCTCTTCCTGTAAGCTAGACTGTAGAAATTTAGAATTCACATTTTCCATAAAGCTGGTTCTGCTAACTTTTTACAGAGTTTACCATTTTATTTGAGTCATAAAATGATTTAATTCGTATAATATGCAAAAGTACCGCATGGTGTTATGTCTGAAAGATTCGATGATTACCAAACACTAAAGCATACGCAATCAAAGTAAAAGGGAATGTCTATAATTCCTCTTCTATAACAAAATGTATGTTATAAAAAAGGTAATGTATTTGCTGTAAGTAAATAATTAATTTTATTCAAGCGTCATTTATTTCCATTTTTTGAATGTTTGTTTACAAACGTAAGGGTATTTTTACTATAACTACGTTTATCATAATAAATATTTAACATAGTATAAAATTGTCTATTCTAATATTAGCTGTTCTGTACATTTATTATTTTGGTTAAATCACATTTTTCAAAGAGGAACAATAAAGGTTATCGTTGCTGATTTAGTAATATCCAAGCCCATATTTAGGCCCTAAATACTCATCTTCATATCCTTGACCATAAGGCTTCTCGTAAATAGGCTTTCCGTAAATAACTTTCCCATAAGCAGGCTCTACAGGCTTTTCGTAAATAACTTTCCCGTAAGCAGGCTCAACTAACACTTTATCTACAGGTTCCAAATAAACTTTTTGCAACACAGATTCCGGGTGTATGGAAACTCCATCTTTTTGAACTACAGCATTAAAACCATTATGATCATCAGCGGTGTAGTGGACTGTACGAAGGGTGCCGTCTGGGTCAGCTACGGTGTAGTAACCTTTAACGACATCTCCATCTCGTTCTTCGTGTTGAGATTTGTGGTCGCCAGTATGAGGATCGTTTACACCGTAGGAAAATTCGTATTTTGGATAACCCTAAATAGGAAAAGTAGGTAAGTCCTTTTTTGATACATATATCTGATTTTGTATGATAATTATTTAATAGCTATTGAAGAATAAATGGCAAAAATCTAAGGCATTGGGAATAATAGAATAAGAGATTTATAGTTTACTTAATGGAATATTTAAAAATCAATGGTAAAGGAAATATAAATTTGGTAGAGCTTCGAATAAAATGTATTTTGTATCTTTATATTGAAATTTTATGCGGTCCTACATTAATATTAATTACTAATGCCCTAATTTTAAGACAGTATGGGATTAGGTAGTTGATTTAGAAAACAATACATACGTATGGTTCGTGCCCTTTTCCATACTCATAACTTGGCTCAGCATACCCGGAGTCATAACCACTATCTTCTTCATATACAGGAGATCCGTAATAACCATTTCCTTTATTATATGAAGTAGCCGCTCCATAATATGGCGCGTACCCAGCTTGGCACATTGCGAAAAATATTACAATGATTGAAATCTGCAAAATATTGTATTGTATCCCACAAAAAAGATGTAGTTAAAGAATTTAAAAGTACATTTTTGAATGTACCACCTTCAGAATGGAATAAATGTTATGAAATTTGGTTTATTTGGAGGAGAATATTTTTAAAATCAATACAGCTACTTTCTAATACTAAATAATTTTATCTTCTTTTTTTTTTTCGAAATTTTACCAGCAACCCTCGTAGATCCTAAATGAATATGAAACTGATACGTAAATGATACGTTTGAAACATGTAAACATATTTAATGTAGAAGACTGACAGTTTAATAGTTTAACAAATTAAAAAAGGTTGCTTTCATAAGAATTTAATTAAAAAACCTAAACTTATTCAAAGAGACTACACCTAACAAAAATTGAACTAACTACTAATTAATAATTTTTTAAAACCTGCTAATATTCTTCTCATTTTCTAAACTTAAATACGTGTAATAAATATGCGTGTTTCACAGAAACCCTAGAGATACCAACGCCCGACCAGAACAGAAACCCAGAGATACTAACGCTCGACCAGAACAGAAACCCTAGAGATACCAACGCCCGATCAGAACAGAAACCCAGAGATACCAACAATTGAAGACATGAGTTGATAAAGGTGTCATGTCACAAAAATATTATTTCAAGAAAAACAAGTTTAAAGTTTTACAATTACATTATGATATATGAATCATGATACCTTCCTATGAGATCAATAGCCATTATTTATCAAAATTGAAAATCAGAACTATCACAAACAAAAAATATAGCATATTTTAAGTATATTAGGCCATAACAATTATTTTTTGAAAAAATGTAACATGACACCTTTATCCACTTATGTCTTCAATTGTTGTATCTACTTTTTCACTCACTTTGGCGATCATTTTTCAGTTTTCTTCAGCTACTACACTATATTATTTCAAAAAACGAATAAAACTAAATTAACATACCACTTCCTGATATTTATAACCAATATTGAACACCCTAGACCTTCAGACTCTAATGATTTTTATACAAAAAAATTCATTGTCACAGATCACAGAAGAATTTCGTAATTTGAAAGTTTACTCAACATATAGTAAAAAAAATTCAATATTAATCCAATAAATAGGTATATATGAAAAGACAGTGGCTGTGCAGTTGGGAAATATCATCTAGAAACTGGAAAGTATTATTATTATTATGCACTATTTTAGAATAACTACGAAGTGAATACTTGTTGAAACAATTTATTTGATTACACAATGTAGAGTATGCATGAAAGAAACTTCATACCACGTTAACTTCGAATGCGAAGATTTAACTAGGCGGCGAACATACCCTTTTCGGTCTAGGATCAAAAATAACCCCCAGGAATACCTGAACAGTGGATTTACCATTGGTAAAACCATGCTGAGAGTAAACAATTTGAGATTTTGTATGTGAACCATTTTAAACACTACTAAAATTTCATAAAATTACAATTGATCGATAGTTTTCTATATTACTTTTGTAAACTTTCTCAAATATGGGGAATATTTTGACATCTTTGGGGGAATGGGGAAAACATACTGTTTTACATGCAAAGTTAAACATAGCTAATAAAGGTTTAGCAAAAATAATAGCGCAAGTTTTTAAGAGAAACGAAGGAATTACGTTAGGGTCAGAAAACATTTTTTACAATAGACTCAGGAGGTAACAATGTTCTAGGCTTTATTTAACACTACCTGCATATAATCGGTAAAGACAAAGATAAAAGCAAGCTAGTTAAAAAGATATACACTACTGTCACATATTTTAGGAACGTATAGTATGAGTATGTAAATCCAACAACCAAATAAGGTTTAATAACTATGTAAATATCAGCAGAAAGTCAACCTCCACAAAAACCATAAATATTGAAATTCAATATCGCATATTTTGAAATCGAAAGTACCTACGATAAAATTATACCAAAGCTAAAACAAAAAATTGAAAACAGCACAATGTAAAGTAAGCTTGATTTAAAAATGTAATAGCAAACGAACTGAATCAATGGGCTAAGTTAAAATGTATAAGGTGTTCCTAAAAGTCATGTCAGTATTGAAGTAAGTAATTCCTTGAAATATATTATTATTAACATTTCATACAGAGTGATTAATTATTTTTCCACACCACCCAACAGTGAATCATTTACATAGTATACAAATAAATATACATAATTATATAACATTACAGTTAAATTTCTTTTAAACTTATTAATCTGGTAGTCTAGTGTGTGAACTAAAAAGAAACTTATAGCAAGAAAAAACAATATTTTACTCGTTTCACATCTCTAAGACTGCAATTAAAAATATCCATATCATTTAGAGATTCCATATTATAGGCAGTACAAATTTTTTAAACAGGAGAAAGATAGAGCACATTAGTTATTTTAGGTTCAAGTTTTTTCAAAATTGTTAAAAATATGTTTGGAATATTCATGAGAAAACTATTTTTGTATCTTTAAAAAACATCAATTTAAAGCACATGTTTGTATGAAACTGTAGCCATAAAATTGGTCAAAGAATTACCTCCATCAATATTGACATGCCATTTAGGAATACTATTGGGATTTTTGATAGTTATGATTCAGAAAAAGTTTTAATAATATCCAAATTAGGTGTAAAATGATTTGTTCGACATTTATAAAATATCCCAGCACACGCCTCTGTCTTCTAAGGTTAGTGCGGTTTTGTTTAAACTTTTTGTCCACTTTAACTAGAATAAGAATAAGAATGAGAATAATAATCTATTTTCACGGCTATGAATTCGGATAAATGCCGCAATTTATGTAATAATGTTATTCCACATCTGTAATTACTAATTGTAAATTGATAATTAAATAATTTGCTTCAAAAGTGGATTAGTTAATATGCAAAATAATAGGGTCAATATCAGTAATTTTGAAATTCAAATTCAAATCGGTTAGTAATTGATCCAAATTGGTAATTATTTGTTAAAAAAGATGGATATGTAATGAGTGGTTTAATAGGAACTTGACACATAATGATAATTAGTTCAAATTAATTATTGTTATTAATTACTTAGAAAAGTACATCAAGTTTGCTTTTTGTGCTAATTTAGTTAAATGAATATTTTTGTTTAGGAACGAAGAATGAAACTAGCACTTTCAGCTTCACAAGGCCATTATCATAGTCTTCCTGAAATGTGTTAGAAATTTATAATATAATAGAAGAACAATGGTGAAATTCTATTGGTATGGAAACAATTATTTAATTTTAAGAATTAATTAACATTACATATCATTATTAGATACCTTCTCTGCCTTAAATAAATAAATTATTTATCTGAAAAATCTGCTAGTTTGGTAGTTTGCACAATAATTTATTCACAAAACAGATGCTCAGCCCTAAATTCAAGAAAAACCCTTTTTTTCTATACCCACGTGGATATTAGCTTATGTAGGTACAGATTAAAAAACGAAAAAGTATACTATTGCATCTAACTGAACGAATATATTTCATATCCATTCTAAGTAATAAGAACATTGCAAAAAAATGAAATCTACCAATCACAGTTCATATTTTAGACGCCCAACTACAATTTTTTTCTGTCGAACTAATTATCAGTATATTTTTTTGGTTATTGAGATTAAATATACATTAAAATGACTTATTTTTGTTTAAAATCGATAAATAAATAGCATTTTATTTCTATTTGGGTCATATTTTGATAAAATAATAAATTTTAAACAAACTATATGAAAAAATTAAAACTAAAATTCTGAAAGTGGCAGTGAATCTGAAGACAGGGCATCTGCTTTCCATGAATAGCGAATAGCCCGGGTTTGAATCTGGGCTAGGGACTATTTATTTCATTTTATAAATTAGTAAAATTTCTAAATTATTTTAAAATTACTTATTTTGTCTTCATAACCTAAAATATTTTTTTAAATTTGTAGATTTTCGTTAGTGGATCTTAGAAAAAATATATAAAAATATATAACTCGAGTAAATTGTCTATATTGCACTCAGACCATATGTCCATCACTTCCACTCTTCTTGTACAAATTACTATTTTGCCTTTCTTGTAAAATTTCTTAAAATGAAGTAAAATACTTTTCGAGTTTTACCGTCGATATAATAATTTGCGTAGTTAAATCATAAAAAATATTAATATATTATTTAATAGTTTCATAAACTGAAATACACAAATGTATTCAATTGTCTAAATTTTACTTATTTTAACCAACCACATTTACCTCTTAATGAAACTTATATTAAATTATTTATTTTTCAATATTTAAGCTCATTCATGCCGTGAATTTTCGTTTATTTTATTATATAATAAAATCCAAATATAGCTCCATAATTTTTTAAAACTTGCAAGCCTCAATTTATTTTATTTTCAATAAACACCACAATCTAATATCCTTACTACCATATTATTTCGTTATATAATTCATCTGCCCTAATATTAGCCAATTTGTTCTATCAACAAAACGCCCATATACCTACTAATTTCTTTTAATTCTTTTTTAAATATAGCTAATTCCTATCATCATTAATCAAATAGAAATGGGTAAGTTATATAACACCCGCTGTGAGTGATTATAATTCAAATTAAATGCCTCCGGACTACCATTTTTGCACTTGCTTTTAATGACAAATATTGATCATTGTCTATCTAATGAATCAAAGTTTGGTAAAGATTTTCTACTGATATTAAAATATTCCTACTGGAAAAGATAGTAGAACAAACATCAACGAAATCATAAACCAAAATCTAATTTAAGTCTCCACTATGTTTATCAGATATAGATCTGAAAACTAGGACATTGAATCCTCAAATAAATCTCAAAAATTATCCTATGAAATAATAAAAATTATTTTTAAAGTAAAAAATTAAAGAAATTCTATACAATGCATGCAGACACTTTCCCAGGTCGTCTGTATATGTATATTAAGTTATAGTTATGCCAAAAAAGGCAAGACAGGGAAACTAATATTTTGTGTAATAAATTTAAATTTAGAATACCTAATACCTAGAATTCAACCTGCGAATAGAGTTAGAAAAAGAATAGTGAAAGACTTAATTAACATCTATAAAAATCATGTCATGTTTTTAAAAGAATATTTGATAAATCTGACTAAGCTAAGTTTATGAAGGGAGTTTGATTTTGAAATTAAATTAATTAAAACAAATAAAAATCAATACATCTCGATAACCTCTATCCACCATATTTCCCTTTAACTATGAAATACCCTGTATAGTTTATTTTAATATTTTTAACAGTTCAAATTTGTTGTCTATGTTGCAAGTTTCTTTTTCGATTCAATACATATTTTATTTTTCTTTAAAAAAAGCAGAATATAAAAATAATTCATCTAAACAACGCCTTTTAATTAACGTCAATAGTAAATAAATACGCTCAGTTATATAACGCTTCTGCGCGTAATTAATTGCTTACATTCCAGAAGCCCAAGACTAAAGATTAATTGATCTCTAAAGTGGGTTTCGGACGTTCCGGTTCATTTGGTCTGCAACACCAAAGCAGTTATACGCTATTTTAAATCAACCGCTTCGAAAAACTACATATAGTTGTATAATTGTATAAATTCGCTTCAATCATTCATCAAAGAAAAATAAATACTCGTACCATCTTAAAACGTCTTGGACGAACATAAAAACTATTGGAGATAAAGCAGCCAGTTGAAGCAGCTCTTAAATCCTATTTTTTCCACTGTAATCCTACTGAAATAAACAGGACTCAATAAATATTAAAGATAACTGAAACTGGACTTTGTTAAAAGATAATTTCGCAGATTTGGCAGATTTCTCTAATTCTCTGATTAGGCATCAAGAATAAAATGAAAATTAGGCCAGATTAGACAGAGATAGTGGCACCGACTATAAAAGAATTGTAATCAGACACAACATGATTGTTAATAAGCACAGGATGGTGCTTAATATATTTCTTGTTTGAGAGAATGTATTATTGTATTTTCAAAGCGTTGCCTTAGGTCATATCTTTGATTCTTTAGTTGAAGAATGGTTGAAGATGTCAAAAATGATCTGAAAAGGTTAGAAGTAGCTAAAAGTAGATCATTGAAATGTAATAGGAATAGTGTTGGGTCAAACCTAAACCTTAATGTTCTCCCACATATTTTGTTTGTAAAAAGCAGAGAAGCAGTGATAATCAGTTCAATTTGCAATCGCTATGCCTCACGTAATTGAAGGTTTAAAATTGACTGTACAATGTTTGTCATTTGTTTCCTAGTTTAACAGTATAACTTGTAATATTATCTGACCTAGGCTTAATGCCCTCTCCCCCTTCTCGAAGGGATATCACCGCTACTGGTTAATAATTAATTCCACTTAATTAACAGATATAATCTTTAAACAAAAATATATTTTTATTGTGATTTCTCTAGTAATATTTTCAAATAACACTCGTAATTATATATACTAATTCTAATTTATCATTAAAACTAAGTATTAATTTAAATAAAATAAACTCAAATAACCGCAAATATAAATGTAATAAATATGATACCCACGATTACAAATATACGCGTTCAGCTTTAAAATGTAATAATCATGAAAAAAAAGTCGCTAGGTACTTGACACTGGATGGCTGGTAACGCGCTCCAGTTTTTTAGCAATAGTTCACATAACAGATGGTCAGTAACGGACTTGCTCGTACTGTTTATCAATGGGTCATATTAAATGTCTTATCTACATTATTTAAATGTTTTTAAACTATAACTATAATATATTATTAATGTCCTAAAACTCTTTAAAGTTCGAAAAAGCAAATAATGTAAACTATGTAATAAATTATAAATACCTCGAATGCAAAATGATAAAATTGCAAAACGGTCCCAAACCACCAACCCCACACTAGCCGAAAAAGAGGTAGAGAGTAAGATGGCGACAACAAGCGAAGAAAGAGTTAGCCGATGAGAAAACAACTATTAAAAAAAATTGAGAAAATATGTAAATTTAGCCTTGGGCCTATAAGACCTTGTTGCGTTTTGCGTTTTGACAAAAAGAGAGTTAAAAAATGTATTAAAATAGAGAATATTTTGTTAAAAGGCAGAGTTCAAATGTCATCTGAAGAATAAATCTGTCCTTCCAATTTGTATAAATGAAAGATGGAACAAAAGGGTTAAGAAAGTCGTAGATGCAAAAGAAAACAAAAATTTAAATAAATGGAGAACCAGAAACTAAAATTCTACGCTCAGAGGAATAGAAAAGGAAGAAAAAGTTTGTGAATGTATTATGATAGAAAAGTTTTAGTTAAATGGCAGAGTTCAAATGTCATCTGAAGAATAAATCTGTTTTTCCACTTTTTAGAAACGAAAGATGCAAAAAATAAAAGCTTAAAAAAGTCATAGATGTAAAACAAAATACAAATTTAAACAAATGGAAAACCTGAAACTAAAAACCTACGCTCAGAGAAATAGAAAAGGAAGAATGATTTTGTGAATGTATTAGGATAGAGAAGCTATTGTTAAAAGGCAGAGTTCAAATGCCATATGAAGAATAAATCTGTTCTTTCACTTTTTAGGAATGAAAGATGCAAAAAAAAAGAAAAGTTTAATAAAGTCATAGACACAAAAAACACAAATGTAAATAAATAAAGAACCTGAAATTAAAAACCTTCTCTCAGAGGAATAGAAAAGGAAGAAGGAGCTTGTGAGCCATTAATATTTATTGGCTATATTAATAAAAACATTAATTGATTTAGTTTTTTAGATATGATCTGCATGCATTTTTATAACTTTTAGACTTTATTTCTTGTTTATTTGACTCTAACACTAAATAACTTTGAATTTGACTTTGAACTCTAATAAGAAGCACAGCATAATTCAACCAAAGTCAATTATTGATGTCACACATAAAATTTTAATTTAGAAAATAGTATTAAAATTTAAAGATTTTTGGTTTGAGCAAAAATATGAAAATAGAAATAATTTAAGAGGGTTTATAACATAAAAAAAGCGGAAAATTGCTTTGTGCTAGTTTTATTGTAAGTCAAAAATTACCACTATCCCTGGTAAAAACAAGAGATCCATGTACTATATGAATTCTAATTGACTGCTAATTAGAGATACTGGCCTTAATTGTACCTATTCATGATGTTCTTTAGATAACTAAACCTGAAAACTAGTATATTAATAATAGTACAAATTACAGAAATTTTTACAATTTTTCTCACCATTTAAACTCCGGTACTGTCCTCAACATGCTTAGACACTATTGCACTTTCAAATTGCAAATATTTTGATCAATTAAAGAGCCTGTTTTTTTATTCAATAATTTCATTGAACATGTTTGGAGTTCCATGGTAAGTTACATACGTATATAAAGACAGAAGAAGGCAGGTGTTTATCAGTTTGTGCAATTATTGTGTGACAGTTGATATAGAGGATTTTGGGTTGACAATGATAACAAAAGTAAGAAGAAAAAGCATATAATTTGTTAATATTATCAACCAAAAGTATAATCAAAAAACATACTTAAAAAATTTATTGTTTAAAATGCTAATTTGATAATTTTCCTTTTTTATATTTCTAACAATTTTGCTGGAATATTATTTATATCTATACAGGGTGATTTCGAAAACAGCAACCGTTCTGAATTTACATGGGTTGCAAGAGGTTTTATTAAATATTATTATTTTTTTTACATTTTATTGGAACTGGAGAATATGATCTGTTCGAATGACATTAATTAATTCCGATTTTTTACTTTTGTTTACTATTATTATTTTCTAGTCTGTTTTTCAGCTCAATGGAAAAATGTATAAATTTTTATATTAAAAAAGTCTGACAATTTCAGTGGTGTTAACTATAATTAAACTGTCAACTGTAGAAATTTTCATATTGACAGGAGATATAAATAAAAATATTTTATCAAATCATTATCTAAATATTTTAAATTGGCAAAATTTTATTTCACAAATTAATATCCTTACTAAAGTGCAATCCTGACGTAACCATTTTTTTATTAAAAATATTCATTCAAAAACAAATTTAATTGTATTAAAACAATATTTACATTCGAACTCAACGAACTCATTGTTAACTTAGCTTTATGCTTAATACTATCAATAATTTCACTATAAATAAACCAAATGAAAAATATATTTCGTGGTTTCTGTCGTAACTCATCATAGAGATCTCCATAATCAATACCTTCTTTAAACTATACACACAACATTTTAAACAAATTGGAACATTTTAAATGGTTGATATCGTCACTCTAATCATTGATGACTCTTTAAAAATATGAATTATTTGAATTTAAACAACATTTACTCTTTTATAAAAATAATTTATAATTTGGTAGTTTCTGTTCTAACTAAGCATTGGTATCTCTTTTAACTTCAAATTTGGAATTATGCACTAATCTCTTTTTTTAACAATTTATGAAGATGTGTTTAATATACTTCGTTGTATAGGCGATGAAGCTAATCATAGAAGTATCCATAACATTTTCAAGTGTACACACAATACAGGGTGTCCCATTATAATGTAACACATTTAAACAGCTTATAATACGATAGTGGAAAAAGATATCAACGTGCAGTTTTCACTAAACTTCTTACATTTACTTCAAGTTTTTATTACCATAGTTGCCAAATGTATATTATTTTCCGAAACTGCCGAAAAAAAAAATTACTTTTTTTTTAATTATCGGTTTACTTTAAATAGAACACCCAATATTTTTTCATATTAACTGAAAAGGACTTGGGGAAGATGTTTCTTTTTATAAATTTCGTCAAAAACATGTACCTAATTGTAAGATTGTTGGGAGTGTCTATTAAAGTTTATTTATTATTTATAAATTTTTCTGGTTTAAATTAAATAAAAAAACCTGCTCTTTGCAATGCCCAGGAAAGGTTCCGGGCCTCTGAACTCAGATTAGAGAGCGCGTCGGCTTTATAAAACTATAGTCATATGCACGAAAAGCGTCTTATACATATATGGTTCTGCTTTGAAGCTAAAATGTTTTTTTTTTACTACAATGTCCGTATTATTGGCGTCAAATACAAAATGAATACAAACCTGTATTCAAATCTCAGAATAATTGCCAGAAATTATTTGTTTACTGGAATTATTACTTGTACTTGTATTGTATTTATTTTAGTAAATGAACTTCATTACTAAATAACATTTTTTTAACAGGTTTACATCCTTGCCATTGCATGCGCTGCAGCTCATGCAGGTGCAATATCCTACGTTTCAGGAGGCCTTGGATTAGACGACGGGCACGGAGTGAGTCTGGGTGGTGGATTAGGAGAAATCGATGGAGGACTATACGGAGGACACGGCATCTCCTATGCTTCTCCAATTACTATTGCTAAGCCTATAGCGCCCATAGCTATTGCAAAACAAATTACTCCGATCACCTACGCTAAGACTATAGCACCGATAGCTTACGCTCAACCTATAGCGCCGATAGCTTATGCTAAACCTGTTGCTGTGGCTAAACAACAAGTAGTTGATTATTATGTAAGTATTTGTTACTGATAATATACTTCTTCTTGATATTATGCTTATAATTCCTCATTGGTGTCATACTACAAACCAAATTTTTAGATGATGAAGAGTTTGTTCTTCACATCTATCCTCTATTTCTGCTTAACAGTCATTTTGACTGCACTTTTCATTCATAGGTTTATTTACCTCTTTCAATCTCTCTTTCTTTATCTCACTTAAAGCGAACAACATATTTTGTATAACTCAGGATTCTTATTTCAACATCATTATTAGTTTTATTTTCTAGTTCTTTAAACTACGACTCGCGAGCCAAATGCGGTCCTCGATAGCTAATAGCTTATTGTTGTTGTTATTGCTGTAAAAATTAAAGGTTTTAACCCTTGGAATATACTAGAGCAATCAGTATGGCCCTAAAGGCTGGAAAGTTTGGAGATCCCTGTTCTAGATGGTCACCCTCTCTCTTTGAGTAGTTTTACTCTCCGGTCTTGTTTTACAACTTTTAAGTTTTTCATTTTCATTTTTCAATAACATAAATATCAATAACATAAAATCCTGACTTGAAATCCCTTTTACTTCTACACATCCTCAATAAGCCAATTTTAAAATATCAATAGTTTATTTGAATTTTAAGTAAGCCATTTTTTATTTATAGGCGCCTGCGCACTACGAGTTCAAATATGGCGTCCAAGATGCTCACACCGGTGACAATAAGCAACAATCAGAAACCAGAGTTGGCGACACTGTCAAGGGCGAGTACTCGCTAGCTGAGCCAGATGGCACCATTCGAGTTGTCAAATACACAGCTGATCCTCATAATGGTTTCAACGCAGTAGTGAGCAGAATAGGCAAAGCAGCACATCCTCAAGTTGTACATAAAGCGGTAGTGGCTGCTCCAATTGTTACCAAAACTTTAGTGGCTAGCCATGGACTTGGATTGGATCTAGGAGGACATTATTGAGGGTTTAAAATTGGATTTTGAACTGGATTTTAGTGCCATTGTTGATACGATTAGTATTGTCGTTGTTTTCGTACAGTTTAAGTTTGTTGTGTATGTTTATGTAAGTTATTTTTTTTGTAATTGAAATAACAATAAATGTTTACCCAAATTTGTGTTTACTTTTTAATTGGTATGTACTCATTTCAAGTAAATTTGAAATATGGAAAATTATCATATTAATGTAAAATTAATATTGATCAAATTTAGATAGACTTCAGAAGAAACTGTCTAAATTTAATTTTTAAAAGGTGAGTAAGATTGCCTGTTGAAACTGCACTGTTTTGAATAAAAATTGATGGAAAAAAATATTAAGTATAAGATAAAGATTGCCAGCATTTTTTAACTATATATCAAAACGAGAAAGACTTCTAAACTGACCTTTTGGAATATCATAGATCCTCTATGAATTTACCATCTAAAGACCCAAAGATCTAAATAATAAGGTCATCATCATCAAATGACAACAGATTATCTCATGCGATCGTGTAAATTGTAGGTAGATTAATTCTTTTTATCACTGAGTGTAACTCATAAGAATACTTGAGGTTCGGGTGGTAAGAAGTAAATACTCTCAAAAAATAAGCTGTGTTATTTCAGGTACCACAAATATACCAATCAACATATTTTTAATTCCATTCATTAGCAATGGATTGAAAATATTGGACCAAGTTCCTAGGAAACTATATAATTTTTGTGTTGTATAATCCAGATTCCTGAAAACCTGAATTGAGTAGTATTAGTAGAATAGAAACAAAAGTACCAAGTAAAACTCTAGCAAAATGAATCAACAGAAACTAAAAATCCTATGTTAACAGATTCCTTCGCCAAACCTATAACTTCTACTGTGATTTCAAAAAACCCAAACACTTAAAAAGCGATATTTCAATTGAACAGTTTATAAAACCAGTAAGAAATATTATAACCCAATAAAAACCATTTATATTAGACTTCTGTTAAATATCTGATTTTTTGAAAATGTCTTTTGAGATCCACATCCTTATTTTAGATATTCTAACCAAAATCCATCCATATTTTACTCAGAGATCTATCAAAACGAGATGCACAAAAATAAAAATTAAATTACTAAGTCATCTCCAAATGACGTATTCAGATAATGAAGCCTGAAAATCTATATATTAACCTATTAAATATATACCATTCACACACATTCAACTAATTTTCTTTAATTTTACAACGGAACGTAAATGGCATCTTTGATAAACTTCCACTGTTACATGTTTTCTAATTTTAAATCTGAACAAATATGTCTTCAGGAAACAAACCAGGCTTTGAATTTATTCCAGAAACTTTGCAAAATCGAGAAATTTCTGAAAGCACCAGTGGTGAAGTAGGTAGGAATCCTAACGAAAAACATTATAGACGCGGGTGGAATACCTATAATTAGAAATATTGAAGTTGTAGCCATCAAAACAATAAATAAAAATAAAAGAATTATTACTGGTGACTTTAACGTCCACAACTTCTTTTTTGGCTCATCATTTGTAAGCTACAAAGAGAAGATATTCGATAAAACTATAGATGAACTGGAGAATCTTCTTGTATTGATCTCACGATCTGTGGTCCATTAATAATACCATCATCAACCTAGAATAGACTAAACTCTACCTACGATAGTTACCCCTACCCCATTATTATTTATAATAACTCACGATGTAGTAACAAAAACATGTTCAGTCCTAAATTAAACCTAAAAGAGTCAGACTGGGAGCGCTAGTCAGAATTTATTAAAAAATATAATATATAAAATCTTGTACTAGATATTGATGAATCACTAGACCTTTTGTTGGGTTAATGATTTTTAAAATAGATATTTTACTTTAATAACCTCTTGATTAATTTTTAAATATATTATTTTCTTTGGTGGGTCGTAGAAAAAATATACTGTACAGAACAAGTAAATTATCCATATCTCTCTCCCCTTAGATGATTAAACTGAAATATCGAGTCTATCATTGGTAGATATTTTGTAATGTCCCTCGTATTTGTAAGTAAAAATTGTTGAAAAAGTAGATCGATAATGTTTATATATTATTAATAATTAAGTTCTCTTTCAAATCTGATAGTTACACAATTATAATTTCCGTTGATTACTTTAAAACAAACTACTAAACTAGAATTTCCATTTTTGTCACTAAATCAAGTCGCACTTTTCAACATATAATTCACAACTAATTCTCTTAACAACAATTATTTATAATATTAACAATGTTTGAAATCGCTCAATATGCAAAACTTATTAAGTAACATTCGAAAATCAATCAAATACCAGTCGGTGTCGAAAAATCCTTACAGGTTTCAAACCACCTGGGAAAAAAATTGATACGGCTAGTTTTGTGCTTCTTGTAAGATTATATTACTGCTAGGCAGTAGCGTACATATTGTTATAAAGAGGATTGGGTAAAAACACTCTTTATCCTATCCATATCCCTAGAGGAATAAAACCCAATAAAAGTCGATCAAACAAGGTTATACCAATAATTAAAAAACAGATGAGACTTTATAGAAATGCCTATACTAGGCATTTTGTTTTGTTCAACAAATCCAGATGAATTTTTACAGAATGTGAGAGAGGCAGACCTTCAGGCATCAAATGTAAAAATGAGTAAAGAATCATCCCATTGCCACCAAAATTTCAACTATCACCTTCTTATGCAAAATATATTTCCAACAACATTAACTGTCCCACACACCAGGTTCTCCTTTTGAAGATTCAGAATCTTATGAGCCTTCCGAAAATGAGCAAAATTAATCACTTGCTGAAGAGCTAACATGAAAACAATGAAGAGACAGGTGAAGACAATAAAACCGAGAATAATGAATCCACTGTTGGTGGTTAGGGATCGGGCAAATACGTTCCTCTGTCCTTTTAATTTTTCGGATTGAAAGTGCACACGTTGGATTTATCAATTTCCTATGAAATTTACAGAGAATTTGTTAAAGATGAAGTGCTAGACATTAAGCAGCGTATCGCTCAATATTTAAGTTCAGATGTTCTTCTTCAAAGTTCAATATTACGTCAGAGCAAAAACATTAATCACGACGAAATGAAAAGGTTAGAAATAATGGGAAATAATGGGGATAAATCACTTACCGAAAATGTTTCTGTGTTGGGTAAGCAATGACATGTTTGGTTAAAGAAACATTGAAAAAATAATGAAACGGGACAGATTTCATAGTTTTTCTTAAATTTATTAATTTCTCAATATCGATATTGACCATCTTTTCAAAATCATGAACAACATTAACCTTATTTGCAACCAGCGATTGGTATTTCGGCAATACAATCCCACAAATATGGCATAAACCTGTACAAAATTTGTACTCTGGAAAAGTAGACTCATGACCTTAGAATTGTATATTTTCAAAGAATGAGCGGACCTATTACAAAGACTTCTTAGAAAAGGCACAATCCAGTATATAAACAATTATTATAAAAGTCTTCAGTTATGTAAAATCCTTTCGGATGTAAAAACGGATCTGCTCTAGGCATTTATCAAACAATGGATGCACATAGAATCAATAATGGTGGAACAACTATAGAAGATTGAGAATTCAGTAAAGAATCGTCGGCCACTTTTAAGAAATATCTACTAGATCAAAAACGACACATTGTTAGGATAAGAGTAGGTCTTCTTACCGGGCCTTGTTACCTAAGAAACCAAATGAGTGTTATCAATCAGAAGAAGAAACAATGTGCAGATTATGTGAAGAAAAGGAAGCTAGATTGAAATTTCTAACATTAGGTAAAGAAAAACCAAAAAAATACAACTATATGCTATTGCTGTCAAGTCTAAGCTACTAAGTATAATAAAAAAACAAGCTAAATGACTTACTTTAAATAACAGGTGGAGATTATTTTTAATAAATCCTTCAGTAAATCTAGAATCTCCATCACTGTTATATTTAAGAAAAAAATAGTGCGGCCACTTTCAGCTGTTTGCGCCTCCTATGTGTGTACTCGTTTTGATCAAGTTTTCTTGCTACCACAATACACTTATTTATTATCAAATCTATTAATATTGCAGTGAAGGTATTTATTTAAATTTGGAACTGGGTATATAAACGCGGAAAATTGCCATTTTGATAACAGTCACAAGTGAGTGATCGTAAGAAAAACAACAATGTTTGCTAAGGTAAGATCAAGCTTACATTAATTATTTAATTATAGTATCTTTTTGAATTTTTTGATAATAATCTTATTTATCAAAATTTTTTGTGACATATTTAGATAGAGCATAGAGAAAGATGAGTTAAAAAGTTTCTAGAATTGCCGCCAAATTCAGTCCAGACAAACTCAAAGAGATGGCGCCAGTAGAGTGAATCACTTTTAAACCCTTTATCGTATTATTTAGGGGCAATTTCATAAGCGAATTTAACTAAATGAAGCTCTTATTTTAAGTTTACTTTAAAATCTCCTTCAGTAGAAGTCAAAACATTCTTCAAAAATAATATGTCATGTTGGTCTTATACATTTATCAAAATATTTGCCACAAAAATGTTAGGTTATAGGTTAAATTTATGTAACAAGTGAATATTTGTGGGACAAGCAGAGGAGGTCCCTCAACATGAACGAGTTATATAAAACGGCATTTCGTACGTGTTACATACAATATTTTTTCTAAGTTTGAGTAGATTATTTATAAAATTGTGTTTTAATAAAAAATTACTGACATGTAGGCAAACAATATTACTAATTTCTTGTATTTTTAGTTGCGTATATTTAACATTCTCTTATTGACAAATAGAAAATCATATCAATTTATTCTCAACGACTTATTTTAGTGTGTTTATATTGGTTGTTAAAGTAATTTAAGATTTCAAGACAGCAGGTTATTTTTCCGTGTGTGTTTTATTTATTTTGTAGTGATTTAGAGTAGAAAATAAGGACCACAACAATAGTATTACTAGATTGTAAGTTTAACCAAATAATTTTTTTTAGAGATTTTACAAAGCTTCTAATTCTTTTTTACAAAATCTAATTTTGAATCTAACATTTTTGACGTAAAAACTTTATCCTTCAGGTTACCCTCCTTTCAAATTTTGTCCACGATTTAGCGTTCATTAGTTATCAAGGGTCGATAGTATCTACGCTCATTAAACTTAATTTTTTTAAATACGACATTTCTAAGCCAAAAACAAATTCATCTTGAGCCGTACAAATGCCACAAATGGCCACCTTAATTTTCTTTAACACCACATGGATTTGATAATTTTATCTTCGAATCTAACTAGTTGATTTACCCTTTATTCCTATCCAAGCGTCATCGATTAGTTTGAAGAAGCCTAGAAAAGATGGCACACTTTTTTCTCAAATTTCCATACTAAATCCATGAAAGTTTATCTGCTCTATCTTAGGTTGCTTCCTCTTGAAGAGTTATAGAGAGCAATACCTACTTCTAGCCTAATAGTTTTGCTGGTTTTCTGCAACTGGTTTGATAATCATCTTATTGCAACTTTTTATTGGAGGTAGCACCTACTTACACTTACAGTTTTAACAAATAATTCCTACCTTTAATCCCTGATCGTGCTACGACTTTTGACCATCCTTAATATAACCATGTGAGACCGAAACTAGTCACACCTGTATTTATTTTAAAATAAAATTTGATGTGCTATTGATTTTGAAGTTTTACTTTTAAGACATCGATAATTTTTATTCATAAACTTTGTAGCCAAAGATTATAAAAAATAAATAAAAGACATTAATATTTCAGATCGCCGTACTCTGCCTTTTAGTGGCTGCAGCACAAGGAGTAGCAATTTCTATTGCAAACGGAGGTCTTGGACTTGGTGGAGGAATTGGACTTGGTGGAGGAATTGGAATTAGCGGAGGACTTGGACTTGGAGATGGTCTTATTGGTGGTAATGGACTTTTGGGACACGGCATCACTCTTGCTCATCAACCTGTGGCCATTGCACATCAACCAGTAGCCATTGCCCATCAACATGTTGTAGATCAATATGTAAGTACTACAATCTTTTAATTTAGGAAATTAAAATGCATATAAAACGTGCAGTATAGTATTGTTAAACATAATATTTTTTTTCAGGCTCCACCCCATTATGAATTCAAATATGGCGTCCACGACGCTCACACTGGTGACAACAAGCAGCAATCAGAAACTAGAGTAGGAGACACCGTTAAAGGAGAGTACTCACTAGCTGAACCAGATGGTACTATTCGTGTTGTTAAATACACTGCCGATCCTCATAATGGTTTCAACGCCGTAGTCAGTAGAATAGGTCATGCTGGACATCCTCAAGTCGTGCATAAAGCAGTTGTTGCTGCACCTACGTTGGTGACAAGCCATGGATTAGGACTTGGTTTAGGTCTTCATTAAAGCAGAACAATGTGTTTGAAAAAGAAATAAGAAAGTAGTTTCTAAGTATTCAAATGGAGTTTAAATAGACAGAATATCATGTAAAGATATATTCCAGATTTAAAGCATTATTTATTGCTTCTTCATCTTCTTTCTCGTATGATCTGTTCAATTTCCTAACAAGTACACCGAAAACTTTTTCTGTATTTATAACTTGTTTTAATATTTGTTATGTATTATAGCTGAACAGATACTCAACTATCCTTCAGGCTGATTAATTGATAATCAGGAGATATAACAGTGCTTCTTTCTATCTCAACACTGTAATCTCAGATCTGTATTTTCATTTTTGCCATTAATCTTTGAAATATGAGATAATGATTTATATTTCTCTATTCCTTTGATTTTAGAAATCTGCATGCCATCTAGAAATGTCTATCTTAAAATGTCAATTCTATGAAGATGTTACTTATCGTCGCCTTTATCTTCTTTATTTTTTCTGTATTGAATATCCACATGTCATGATATCATGATATAATCTATTAAAATGTTATTAATCAACATCATTTTTTTATTCTATTATGGACTACTAATTTTTTTTAAAGTGATCACATAAAATATAGTCTATAATATGTTTTGATTGAATACTTAATTTTGCATATTTTATTCCTTTCTCAAATACATCATATTTGATACTCATCCATTTTTCATATGAAATATATCATGTACCTGTTTTTAAAGAAAATTTTGACATATTTAGCTTAATTTTAATATTGGGTTTCTTTAAAACCAGATAAACCATTAAAAAAGTTTGGTGAAATATGTTTGAATTTCCTTTAAACTACTTTCTGCTACATTTGTCCATTATCGATTGTTGCTCATTATCTGATTGTTGCTCATCATAGTATTTGTATATTAAGTGTGCTATTTTTTAAATGTGTATATTATTATTTAATAAATAGTTTAATACAATTTGGTGTTTTCTTGATGTTTCTTAGAAATATTTACTAGGAAACTAGTATTACGTTTGCTTTTGCATCTTATATCCTATCAAATATTAAAAATATGAAAGGACAATAAGGCTAATCGACTTTGTCAATTAGGATATCATTTCAATTTTTTAGAATAAATTTAATTAGCTCAATACTAATAAAAAATAATGAGTATATTAACTTGTATGGTGGCTACAGGTTCTTATTAGGCGTTTTCTCATCCTTTGAAAATATTATTATTCTTTTCATATTACCACAACTATTTCATAAAGTATAACACGTTTATTTTATCACTTCATTTACTTCTCGTATGGTTTGAAAAATGTTTGATTCTTCCTGTTTTATTATAATATACCTAGTGATCCCTTAGGATGATTTTTTTTAAACAAAAATTGATTTGATGAGTAAACTTTTCTTTAATGAAATTAATAAAAGCGTATTTGGCTAAAATCCATAATAAAAGCCTTCCTGAACACATCACATTTGAATTTATGATTATTAATAAAAGATATTTTGTGAATCTATTTATTTATTTTAATAAATTTGATTAGTCTTGTTCTTGACTATTTTAAAGACTCTAGAGACATCAGAGTCACAACTGATATTTGTCACCTGTCATTTTCTGATCTAAACTATGAAAATCCTAAGTATTTTCAAGAAAATAATTACATTCATAATAATTATAACATTGAATGAAACAAATTATAAAACATAATTAGAAGGTAGGATATTAAAACTGTTAAAAGTTAAGCAAGGACTAGGACAAGGTGACCTATATCGGATCTAGATAAATTCATGGAATACAGTTATTCGAAAAACAATTCTTTGAATTATCATATAATTAAATAATAGTTTAGCTTTCTATAATTTTTAATAACAATAGTTGTTATTCATACGTTATGTTAATGATAAAAAAAAGTAACTGGAATATATATAGCGCTTAGCATTCTATATTATACTCTTTACAATTTAACAGACGTCCTAAACACCTTTTTTTAATAATATTTTTTTCATATTCAATAAGCTTCATCCCCTTATAAAGCTTGATTTTCCTGAAGATTCCAAGTTTCTACCGTTTTTTTTTATTCTCACCCCCCTCCCCCCCCCCCCCCCCCCCCCCCCCCAATAAACTCCCTCATTTCTATTCAGAATCAACAAACTTAATTCCTTCATAGAACTTGATTTTTACTATACTTTTCGTTTTAAATTGTTTACTATTTTTTAATTCCATTCCCTCTCAACCCTCATTTTTATTCAGGCTTCGTTCTCTTATAGAACTTATTTTTGTTAAAAATTTTAAGTTGATACCATTTTTGGTGTTTAATATTTCTTTAACCCGCCTCCCCCCCTTAACATCTCCGATTTTATTTAGCAGCAAAAGGTAATAAATTAAACTATTTATAAATGATCCAAGCTATCTGAAATTTGATTGATTCGTTTCCATTTTCAGGGAATCTGTAACATGTGTAGCATGTCTTAGTTAATAATTATACTGAGAGTGAGCTACTTACACCTCCAGTACTATCAATATAATTAATTAAGTTCTTACTAAGACATACCACACATGTTATAAATTCCCTGAAGATGGAAATGAATCAATAAAATTTCCGAAAAATTGGAGCATCTTTAAAAAAAGTCTTTATTACCTTTTGTTGTACCCAATAAATTAGATTCAGTATTATCTAACTAGTTAGCAAAGCATATTTCACCATATATTTATACAGTAAGTTCCATATTAAAGTTGCCTAGGTCCTAGGTACTGCTTAAGTTATCAGTCAAATTTCGTATTTTTCGAAAAATCTTTAAAAAAAATATTATTTAAATGCGAATAGGACAAAAAACTAATGTCAGTAGCCAACTTTGATATGGGATGTGTTAGATACCAATGCCCGACCACAACAGAAACCCAGAGATACTAACGCTCGATCAGAACAGAAACCCTAGAGATACCAACGCCCGATCAGAACAGAAACCCAGAGATAGCAACGCCCGACTAGAACAGAAACCCTAGAGATACCAACGCCCGACCAGAACAGAAACCCTAGAGATACCAACGCCCGATCAGAACACAAAGTTTTTAAAAAGGTAAAGGTGATTGCCCTACGACATTTTTTTCGAATTCTAATATATAAAAGAAAATCCCTTATGGATCTAACTTTATAGCACACACTGTATATAAATTGTGTTACTTTGAGCTCTACAATACAAAGTAATTTCATGTCCCTGTAATTTTGAGACACCCTATAGATACTCCTTTGAAAAGATTAATCGAAAAACCCGCGTATACTAATTTTTCTCAAAAAATATATCCTTGGAACGATTATGTAACTGAAAGTAGAACATCTGTATGATCGAATTAAAATTTTAATTCATTCATAACGATTTGTATGGATAACTTTTGCCCTATATAATTAGCATTGTATGAACAATATAATTATCAATAAATATTTTTGCTGGCCAATCTGTTTTCGTTGTACATGTTTCGATATCGATCTTCGAATCGAATTATGGGTGCCTTTCTAGATATTGCGATAAAAGTTTTCGTTTTTTTCTTTTCATTAAGTATGGAATCATTTAAATTAAACGTAATTTGCCATGAAATTTTCATTTTATCTTTTAATTTGTGGTCGTATTTTTATGGATAAATATATTACGTATTAAGACAAGAAAGGCAAGTCCTCTTAGGTGGCCTAGCCTATCACCAGATTTAACAAATTTAGATTTTTTGTTATAAACTTAAATAATTAAAAAATGCATGAATAAGAGACAAACAGCAAGGGTTAGATTGCCTGTCTGTTCGCTATACTTACGCGGGTTTCGGATTAAAAATGTTATGAGTATTTCCAGGTAAGTACCCGAAAGTTTGACCTGTTCCTTGACTTTTTAATTAAATAATAATGGAGAATCTTTTATATAATTAAGAGCAGAATCAAACTTCTTCATTAATGGAGTCTAATGTAGCTATTATAAACCTAATAATAATTTTATATTACACTTCACACAGAAAATATGGTCTATGTATAATAAGACGGTTATTTAGCTCAAATAAAATATTTTCTAACATAAAAATTTGTTCCATGTAGAGAATTTCAAATGAAAAATAAAAAAATTTAACTTGCCAACAAAAATAAAAATCAGTCATTATCATCCAACATATCATAATCGTCATCATCATTAATTGTTATTATGATTGGACTTATTTCGTTTTTTTATTTTCACGAGTCCACCAATCTTCTATTAGTTTCTCGCACTTGGATATACAGTTCCGCCACACTTCTGGAGTTGCAATTGAAAGTGCTTTTCGCAAAGTTTCCCGAACTGCGTCGTCACTATAACCATTAGGCCCAATATGGTTGTCATAATATTATTTTGCTATTCCCTATATATATTCGATGGGATTAAACTTGCAATGATACGGTGGCAGACGCAAAACTTGATGACCGTTTCTTTCAATAATCTGATTCACAACAAAGGTTTTTGGTTTTGCGTGTATATTTGCCAAGCGTAATAATTCTGATTTTAATGTATATTGAGGAAATGGTATATGTTCCTTTGTCAACCATTCTTTAATTTTATCAACAGTCCAAGAACTCGTTGGACTTTTGTTTAATACTTCAGAATGCATTGTCTAAAATAATTACGCTGGGCTCAATTAAACCTGGGAGAAGTTTTTCATGCAACTATTTTACAAACATTTCTGTGTTCATATTATCGTGCTAGTCACTGGATTTTGATTTAGATGAGAATATTAAATCAGCACCTTCTATAAAACCCGATTTCCCTCCTGCATGTAAAATTAGAGAGAGAGAGAGAGATATGCTTTATTGTCGTAAAAAAATTTACAAAAATTTTATAGACAAAGCGTGTAACTTAAATACTAAACATATTATAAAAATAACTAAACAGCAGAAAAAACAAACAGAAACAAACAGACAAAATAGGAATAACAATTGCAATGGATATGCAATATCCGTCATTATAATTATTCTAATTTAATTTTTAAATGTGTCGCTTCCTTTCTCCATCGGTATGTTTGATGGACTTTACGTTATCATCTTGCCATATTCTCTTGGTTGCACCCCTAGAAAATATCCATCTTTCGTCTAAATATATAAAATTCGTCCCTTCTTCTTTAAATTTAGAATATTTTCTTAGAAAGTTCATTCTCTTGTGCACGATAGAACTTCTTTCACAAAGGGCCTTTCTGTTATCCTTCTTTTGAAATTTGAAACCCAAGTTATGTATCACTTGCCATAGACATGTTCTGCCAATGTCGTCAAATCTATTAATTCCGAGAGAATTGTATTTAAGGTCACATGTTTCTTGTTGGCCCTCATTCGATAAATGGTATCACGAATTTCAAATTTCTTTCCATCTGTAATATCTTTCGTTTTCAATGATGGGCGAGTTTTGTGGTGATCTTCTTTCGGCAGTTCACTATTGTGATTTTGTAATACTCTTAATTTGGTTTCACTAATTAGTACCTACCCTAATGTTATTTCAATTTAAATCTGACCATTAGGGCAATTTTACCTAATTTCTTGGGAAGAGGCATATTGGAACTGGTTGTCAATGACTAAATTGCATAATTTTGTTAATCCGAAACCCGCGTAAGTATAGCGAACAGACTGTACCAATATTGTGAATGTCTTAATTCTTATTGAAATGTCTGTAATTACTGAAATGCACTACATATCTTCCTATCTTAGCGCATAAGTCACACACTTGTCACTCTTTAGGTAACTCTCATTACTTGGAAGTCCTAGTAAATGACAAAGATTAAACTTCGGTTGCTAATAATCTATTGTATATACATCATTATGACTTAATATATTTTACAGATTACATCACCAATTATTTGTTTAACGATGGAATCTTAAACTAAACTTAAGACCGCTTACAATCTTTTACTGCTCACTGTAAGAAAAACTGATTGATCTACATTTTCACATGGACAAAAATGATGTCTGCTCTACCTCAGGGTAGATATCTGACTCTATTCTGGAAATACCACCTAATTCAACAACACTTGTTTCTACGTGATTTTTTTTAGGGATTACCCACTTTATTAAGAGGTTCTAAAAAGTTTTAAACAACTTTTTTTTTTAATAGTTTTCAAAAATATTTTTTCATTTTATATAAATTTAAGTGTTAATTGGATAATTACCTACTTCTACAGTTATTCAACATTGCTATCTTTGATGAGGAAATATCCTATTTGTCGGTAATTAATATTAAGCTAATAAACGAAATCGATTGTTATAAAAAGAAAACTCATTTTCAACGCATCATGCGTATCTTCGAGAGGTCAAGTTACAGACCAATAAAATGAAATTTAACATGACACAATATAATACTTGCATAACAAAAAATTCTTTCAGAGATACCTACTGTGTAAGAGAATTCAAAAACAGGCAAGTTTCTTAAAAATGTGTGCTCAAGCAGACAAGAATATCTCACACAGAATTATCTAATCTGATACATAGTAGTTCCAGAAAAAAATAACCACATATATTATATTGATATGGAAAACCCTCCAATAAAACTTGAGCTGGATTCAACTCTATAAATTTACAGTAATATATAAAAAGAAAAAAAGATCCTATAGCTAGCAGACTTCCGTCTATATTACTTCGTTCTTGATCATTATATATTTTGTCCTTATTGCCACGTTTTAAAACCACCTCCATTGCGGCCGTATGATAGTGAGAAAAAAATTATTTTTTTGAGAAAAAAGTAGAAACAACCTGCGACGTATTTATAACTTTTTATAGAGAGGGTTGACACTACTGTTTGAGCGGTCTTTCCCCGGAAAATTTTAAATTAGAATTCACAGTTTTAGCGCTCCCAAAACACTTACTTTTCGTGTTGTAATTTGCTTTGGCGAGATTCGCGAAGTTTTAAAATGTGGGTATTCGGCTTTCGCGTTGTTGCTTAGTCCGTGCTCCCTAAACCCCCTTTTATATACATCGGTGATAGAAACCTAAAATAAAAAATCTGCTTTCCACATTTTATGAACGCACTGTATTAAATTAACTTTGTGAGAGAGAAAAGACTTTTTCTACCATCATCCTAAGTAATCTCTAATGTATTTATTAGACCCCTAGTAAGACGTTACTGTACTGATAATTCAAATTTATCAGACCATATCCTTGTTTATCATCATAATCACTTAACTATCAAAAACTTTATTACATATTAACAAAACTAGGTAAGAATGTGAATATTTTGTGATCTTTTTTAGCAATTAACAAAAAAAAAATTATTAGTTCGTTGCATATTATAAATATGTTATAATATTATTATTATATTATGCTCGAAAAATCGCAGCAGGAATTTTTAAATAATAAACAACAGCAGGAAAGAGGTGAACGGGAATTGGCAATATGCAATTTGCATCGACTGGCATATAAAAGCAAGGTGGTTGACGGGTAAAGATCAGTTCAAATTTCTGATAGGTACAAACATAGTGCTCATTTAGCGGTGCGGATATTATAATAATAAGTTTATCATGATTGCACAGGTACGGATCATAAATTGTTTTAAAAATATAGTGCAACGATTATGGCATAGAAATTATATCGTTACAAGCACCATTAATTCTTTGTAGAAATTGTTATAATCCTTTTATGTACGCATGTTTTTTTTATGTACCTACCGGGTACCGTGATTTAACATTACTATAAAACTAACAATGCGTATTATTTTTGTTCTAATGCTACCTTTCTTTCTTTTTCGTTCCTTTTTAGGTCCTCACAGGGTTTTTAGATTTTAAATTTTAAAAGCCATTATCCCTTCTTTCATTTCTTGTTCTGTTTGTCCTTGTTTCATGTCCTTTTCTACATTTTGCTCTTAACAGGTTTTACTGTATTTAAATTTTCTTTTTTCTGTCATAGATCTTTCATAGAAGTTGTACCTGATAATTTGAACATTCACATCTTCATAAAACGCATAAGCAAACTGCGCCTGCATTAGCTGTAAAAGATTCAATCTACCTATGTTTTTATTTCGTAATATATACAGAGCACAACAGACCCAAAGCTTTTTTCTCTATAATTTTCCATTTTCAGCCTTAACGATTGTTTTCCAGTTTCTTATTTTCAATATATTTAAATCTTTTTCTACATGTTACACATTATGATTTGCGCAAAACTTACATTATTACCACATATTTATTCAATATTTTCTTCAGGTTGTATTTGTATCTGCCCTTTTGGCTCTATCACAAGCAGGACACCTTGGAGGAGAATTGGATGAAGGTCTAGGAGATCATGAACATGCAACTTCCTATGTAGGAGGTCACAGTGTTGTAGCTGGAGGTCATAAAACTGTTGAATATTGGGTAAGCATTATACAAAACGAATTTCCTTCATAAACACATTTGTTATATTAAAGTAGTATTGTAAATCTGTAGTATAAAGTAATTTGTATTATATAGTAAACGGATTAAACACATTGGTTTGGTATTAATGGCAACAAAATTAAAAAATGGAAAACATTTCTTCCCCAAAATCCGATGCTACTTTGCATACAATATGTATTGAGGTTCAGACTTCCTCAAAATCTAATACTACTTTATATACGATATGTACTTTAGATAAAGTCAATAATATTACTTTTGGACTCTTTCGCAGAGTAACAATATGTATGAAGGTTCACACTTTCATAAAAACTCTAAACTCTACTACCTAACAGTTTTTTTTGTCGCCATCACAGCAGTAAATACTCTTGATAAAGTCAATGATAACTTCTGAACTCTTTTTCAAAGTAACATTCATATTCCAATATGACATTTTGACAATGGCAAGCAACTGAAGAGTTTTATTTTCTCCATATATTGCCTTCATTTAATCACAAATATGTAGTTCAGTTTAAAATATAACTTATGTCGCAATTTTCTACAAAATGTCTTGTAAGATCTTTATGGTAATAGGTTTTTAAGTAGTTCTTTAATAACCCATTAATATGATTGAACACTAGAGTAGTGACTGTCAATTGGAGTATTCTACTTTTTACAATACTGTGAAAACTCCATGGCAATGTTATGATGCAGATTTTTTTATTCTCACTTCTAGTACATATTATATATCTTATAATTTTGTTACCACTTATAAAAAGCATACCATTTCTTATACTCTCTATTATCTTATTTTGTATATACATTTTCTGTTATATAATTTCCAGGAATCTTTCCTTTTCCTTATATTTATATTCTCACTATGAATTTACTATTATCATTGGTCTGATTCGCTTTCTTTTTAATTTTTAAACATATTAAACATTTTCAGGCTCCACCCAAATACGATTTCAAATATGGCGTCGAAGACCTCCACACCGGTGACTGGAAACAACAGGACGAAAAAAGAGACCATGATCTAACTCTCAGTAATTATGTCGTAGCCGAAAAGGACAGGAAAATCTCAGTAAACAGGATAATATCAGGAGCCGTACCGATTCCAATCAGCAAAGGATGGTAATGGATGGTTGATGTTTTGTTGAAAACGTTTAACAACATTCTGAAAGCGTTTCGGTTTGATCATTTGTCAATTTAGGATCAATGTGGTTATTTTTGTTGGGTACTGTTATTGTTTTTTTGTTGTGTCCATGGTTTTTGACTTGCTCAATTCTTGTTAGCTTTTGTACAATTTTTTTATGTTAGATGTTAGTTAATAAGTATATTTAATAAATCATAAAAAAATAAATAATAGTATTAATTATTTCACCTTTTAAGATGTTAGCGTAGTAGAGATTTTCTACCTCAAGCCTTACTAAACCCATACTTGTAAACCGTAAATTCCAATGCAGCTACAAAAAGGTGCAACTCTACATCAGTTAAACTCAAACAATTGCGATTAATAAATATGTAACTTAGTCTACTTGCCGATACTGAAAATCACTATGAGTCTTAAATCCTCTTTTACAAATTTAAACAGTTCTTTCTTAACTTCTTTCATAATTTTTTAATTCTTTTTTACCTACTTTCTATGTTTTATATTTTCTATATACCATTTTAATAATAATAAGAGTTTTTTAAGATATTATTACCATCTCCACTAAGCATTAAATGTTCTAAGTATTTTTTGTAACGGTTTTTAAAGGTAACATTCTTGATATGTTTTGAAAACGGTAATTAAATATTCCATAGATGTTTAAATTTTAATACAACTGAAGATTCATGAATGCAGCAATACTTGCATTCGCAGTTACATACACATCTTTTATACTTCTTTTTAATTATAATTATAATAGTGTGTATGACGCTGTTGTCCATCATTCTTTTGCTAAATGGATAAATATACTTTTTTTAACTGAGGATAAATTATGTCACAATAACTGAACAATTATTATACAAGTCTGCACATCGACACTCCCTTATTTATTATTTTCCAGAAAACTTAAAGCCTATGTTGAAGAGCAGGGCGAAATATTTCACCAGGATGTCCCTGATTTCGAGAGACTATACGAAGGAAGATGGGACGTTAACATGCTAGTTGATTACTGGATGCTCAGGAGAAGAAGAAAATGTTTCTCAAGCAGAAAAGAAAACATGTAGGGTTAAATATGTCATGAAGGAATAGTACTTTCTTTTTTCAATTATAACCAAAATTATGCATAGTTAATTACAATAAAATATTGATTGTTTCATCGCTGTGTTGTTTTTTGCAAAAAAACTGTATGTGATGGAAGCAAATGGATGTCATTTTTGAATTCAGCACCATATAAAGTATAAAATTTACCAAAAATATCCCATGCAGCTAAAAACAAAAATTATATTTATCTTAAAGTGCATCAAATCATAATAACTTATCAAATCACTATAAATATGAACAATAGGCACAAATCGCTTTATTATAACTACAGCTCTTTTGCCGTTTTGGTACAAATTTCAGTCGTACCACATTTTGATAATTGGTTGGACTATTAATAAGATGGCGCTAAAATGAATTTACATTTGTATCTCAGAATGCAACTTTTATGACCTGAGTTAATTTCCCAGATACCATAGAACACATTTTTTATATAAAAGTGTAAAGTTGGTTGCCTAAATCAAGGACTATTGAAGAAAGTGATTTAATAGATGATCTCATTGTATTAAATGCCTTTACTTCTTCTTACAACTTCGCGATCTCTATTTCTTTAAGAATAGACAACTAACCAAAAATACCCGCTAAAAGTACCTATCATAAACCAATTTTTTGCAAACGTTTCATTTAAATGGCGCCCTGACTTTGCTCTAGATTTTAAACTAGCAATTCAATATTCACGTGAAATAACACAACATTACTGATGTTTAAGATTCCTATTACAATATTAATTGCCAGTAATCTACCCAGCAAACATTGAAGTTGTGGCCCTTTAACGAATATGATGGCAAAGTAACTTGTAACAGCAAAATCTTTATGGCCCTTTTGAAATTTGTAACTAACTGCAATTTAACTTTAATTTTACGATAGGTCGTTGATGGCTTTTTAACAGTTTCTTTCCCACATGCAACTTTAAAATCGTTATGGTCCATTTTAAATATGTAATTAACTGCCTTTTGACTTTAATTATTCGATGGGATGTTGATGGCTTTTTAACTGTTCTTGACAAATGAAAAGAAGATATTATCGTGCTTAAATTCGGCATATTTTTAATTGTTATTCAGGTCATTCCAATGTCTAAAGTGTTTTTAATTGTACTGAGATAATTATTATACAGAGTGACAATTTAAAAACTTACAGTAACTATGTATATCTCATGAAATAAATGTGATATGAGTAAGAAAAGGAATGTATGACACACCACTGAAAAGGTATTTTTTTGAGAATGCAGCAGTATATTAATACGAATTCCAAACTCTGGATTTTAGCCCCTTCATGAGGGGAAAAGTGTTGTTTCTAATAGAAAGTAGTTTATTATATAAGAGCTAATTTTACTAGTAGGTAATTCAAACACACCACATAACTTAAATAAAAATATTAATTAAACAATAAATATTATAGAGTAGGTACATATTAACTTCATTTTGTTACAAGTGTAATATGGAAACATTTAGGGTTAATGTCATATGGAGCATGGAATTTTTAATAAAATTAGCTTTAATATGAGATGTCACACTTCTTTTTTCAAGAGTGGGCTAAAATTAAAGATTGCCTTTTTTATGTCACACGTGCTACATTTCCTTTAAAAGCCTGGCATCATTTTGATAATAGGCTAATGCAATCCTTTAAAGGAAAGTTAACATTATTATTATGGAAAACTGCTGTTAAAGCGCAGGCCTTTCAATTCTTATTGCTGGTAAAGTGACAGGATATATGCAAGACTATTAAAGGGAAATCAAAATTAATATCGTGTGCAGGCCTTTCACTATTTATACTGATAAAGTAACAAGCATTATGCAAGACCATTGAAGGGAAACTACTGGCTATTTGCAGGTGTTATTGCTGGTAGAAAGACTACAGCCTTATGCCGCCCTTTGTGACAAAAAATCTACACATCAATGCCAGATGCACCATGAAAGACCACTACTTGAAGTAACGTTTAATTATTTAAAGGCCAATAACTTGCCATAACAAAATGTTTGGTAAATTTTCCCAAATCATCTTAAACACTTCAAAAGAAACGAACAAACAATCAGTGGGATACTTCTCATCCTAGTATGGATAGTCACAATGAAATTTATAAAATTCTTAATAAATACTCAAATAAGGCCCCTGGCTCAGATGGTGTTTCCTACAAATTCTACAAAAAATTATCAAATAATTGGATTTTATAAAGCACTTGTTTGTACAACAAAATTATTGAAACTCATTTTATATCAAACAGCTTAAGGGATGTTGTTTTACTAATGAAAAAAGTATTAGAAGTATATAAATATTACACTGAATATTTAGTATCCTCTTATTTAGAAATTGGGATGTGTGGGACACATTAATCTGGATTTTTGTCTAGGTAAAACAGCTTTTCCGCTAAATACCTTAATATACAATATATTCTTATTTAAACTTTTTATACTCTCATACTTTTTTATCCTAGTCAAAAGGTCGATGACGTGTTTGGCTTGATCTTAAAGCAAACAAAATCTACATCAAAATGTAATTGTATTCTTCCAATAAACTCAGAAATATGTATGTATACTTAATTATTAATTGAAAAGTTCAAAGAAAATGTCAAAATGAAAACAGAATTATAGAAAAAATGTATTTATATGTAATACTATAAACTAATTCACCATAACAACTTCATTATCAGATCAGCAAGATCAGTCCGACGTTTATTAATATAACAAACATTTTAAACTTAAGAATAAAAAAAGTAATTTCCCATATCTTTATTGATACAATGAGACAAAAATTACTATAGGCTGTATTACTGATGACGTAATTTGTGTGCCTAACAACAAATCTAAATATCTAATATTATTTTAAATCATAAAATATATTTTAGTTAAAAAAAATCGTTTATTAATCAATAATATAAAACAATAAATAAAAATTAGAGGCTATACATTCATTTATATTTTATTTCTATTATTTTAACGATTGTATTCATTTAAAAGTATGTCATTGTAATAGTTACATTAAAAATTAATTTGGTTATATACCTACAATTTTCAAAAACCCAAGATTTAAAATGTATATGTCAAAATTAATGAAAAAATGGTGTGTTTTGTTTGGCACACAAATTACGTCAGAATAATACAACGTAATGAGCAGTGACGGATTGTGAAAAAAATATTGGGGATTCACAATGACAAAGTATAGCTCTCAATACAGTTGTAGGTAAAAAACTTTCAATATTTCAGTTATAAGGCAAAAAATACCTTTCAAAAACACTCATTCTCATTTCAAAAATTTTCTTCCATTGTAAACCCCAAATATTTTGATTACGAGCCGCCAATGGTAATGAGTAATGCTAAAGTATCATAATTGACAGACTTGTCGAGGCACTGCTTAAAAAGCTTACCCTACGAGGGTGAAACATGTTATTAAAACATTGACACCCACTAAGGAAATATTTTTGAAAATTTTCTCTTCAAGGTGTTTTATTTTATATCAAACACCGAAAATTTTTTTAAAGCTTGCCAATGTTTGTTCTAGCTCTTCCACTCGTTTTTTTAATGATTCATTTTTAGTATTTAATACTTTAATAGTTTCTTTATATTCCTTATATTCTCCATCAGTCTGTGTAGATACGGTTTGAGTTGGTAATTTCGTAACCTTAGAACTTTCTTCTGATGGACAATCGTCTAAAATGGTAGCACCTGGGGTAGGACAATCGTCTAAAATGGTAGCACCTGGGGTAGAACAATCTACAAAAGAAAAACATTTAAATAAATGAAAGGTTTTCTACTGCTCAAATCTTTCCAACTTCATAAATGAAATAATTAAATCTATATAACGTATGTATTAATAAAATTTAAATCGGAACCTGTTTCGGTTAACAAACCATCATCAGGTCTAAAAGAATTAAATATATAATAAATAAACAATACATAAATTAAAATATCTTTCAAAATACGTTTCACATAATCCGTATATTTATATTTAAAAAATAATCTGTGACGTCACGAAACGCATATTTAAATACAAAATCGATGGATTTCAATTTCCGAAATAATTAATTTATTATTAATTGAAAAAAGTTTCACCAAAAACATTTTTTACAAAAATTCATAAAATTTTCTTTAGAAATACCTTTTC